GACTGTGGCCAATCTACCAATGTGCTGCCAGTGTTCTCCACTGAAATCTCTCTAACCTCTCTTGTCAGTCGGAGCCCCAACTGATCTCAAACACCTATCTGCTGACTTAGTGTCACTTGTCAGTTGGATGACTAATAATAAGTATCTCAAAACCAATGAGTCTAAACCAGGATTCTTAATTCCCGACCCTGGCCACCACCCTCCTTCCTGGGCTCAATAAGGGGGACCAATGGAACCATCCCTCACCCTGAAGCTGAAACCCAAAACTCAGGAACACCCTTGGCCTTCCCCTGTCCCCAAAGCCAATCTGTTAGCAAGTCTTAAGGGTTTCATGTTTGAACTGGATGAGGAAGTCTCTACTTCCCTCCACTCCACTGTACCCATTGTCATCCCTTGCCTCACCCCACATTCTCCAACCCTTTCCATCTGTACCTGTCTGCACACAGGTTCACAGACCAAACAGCAGACCAGTGGTTTTCAACCTTTCAACACCTGCTGACTGGCACTGGTCCATGGCCAGGTAGCTGTCCACTGAGCCAGCCTACTGCAATGGCATTCTCTGTAGTCTGCCTGCTTCCACTCGCCCCCTACCATCTATTCTCTGGGGGAAGAGTCAAGGTAATCTCTGCAGAACCTAAACCATATCCAGCACTTCCGGCTTGATCCTGCAACAGCTTTCCCTCACAGAGTAAAATCTGGACTGCTGGCTGGGCTGACATGCTCCATTGCTCTACCCCTCTATTTCTTCAGGCTCGTTTTCTCCCAAATCCCTCCTCCTTCTCATCCAGTCTAGAACACTGGCCTTCCAGCTCTTCCCCCTCCTCATGCTTCCCAAGACCATTCTGATTTCAGGAGTTTTGTACTTGCTGTTCTATAGGAAAGGTCTTCCTTAGGATCTTCCCATCTTATACTCCTTTGAATTAAGGCCTCGTATCCATGCTCTTCAGAGAGGTCTTTCCAAATCACTCTACCTGGAGTCATACATTACCTTGCCGTCACTCTCTGCTCCAGTAAGGCCACTGGATTCCTCCTGGCACTTACCCCAACCTGGAAATATGTTACCTATTCTTCTGGTATATGTGCCGCTGAAGTAAGCACATATATCATCTATGCATTCAATTTTTGTCAACTTTCCCAGTAAATCTAAGTCATAAGAGCTTAAAATAGTGCCTAGCAGCTGAGGGGCTTAGAAGGGGAGTTGTGGATATTGGTGGAGGAAAGTGGACACTGGTGAAGGGATGGGTGATCGAATATTGTATGCCTAAAACTCAATTGTAAACAACTTGTTACTTTGTATCTCATGGTGATTCAATAAATTTAAATTTTAAAAAACAAACAGAATAGTGTCTATCACAGAGAGGATGTATTAAAATTATTTGCCTAGTTTAATATACATCAGTTTTACAATAACAAAACAACTGTCCAAAACACTGTCCTTCTGTTGTTCATCGATTTGGTCGAGCAGGCCCAGTAACATCTCCATTTGAGATTTGTTGTTACTGTGTTTGACATATCAAATATGTCACAGGTAGCTTGCCAGGCGGGCGAGATACTCTTGGTAGCTTGCCGGGCTCTCCGAGAGGGGCGGAACAATCGAACTCAGGTCAGCCATGTTGTCTGTGTGCAAGGCAAACGCCCTACCGCTGTGCTATCGCTCCAGCCCACTTTTACAATAACAACAACAAAAAATTAGCTTTGGGTTCCTGACACAGCCCAGTGGCAAAGCATATACCCTGAATTCGATCCCCAGCAACCAAATATGAAAGGCAAGTCTCTATAAATGCCTGAAGCTCACTACTCTAACTATCGGTGTGTCAAAGAGAAAAACAACCCCAGATGCCTGGGAGCTAGGCTAGAAGAATCAACTGGCCTTGGAGTTTCGAGGAGTTACTTGGCTTTCACATCCAAGCTTTTAATGCAGTATACACCAGCACCAGACAAGGTCACTCAGTGACTGTGATGGATTACGACAAGAGCAAGATTCCTCTGTAATACTTTCTCAACAAAGACAAGACAGAAACATGGTCCAAGACAGAGAATACCAGATGCTTCTCTCTCCCGGCTAATGAGTGACTACTGCTTCTTTGCCAGTTTCATCTTTGGCCCCACCTTAGTCTGTTCTCCTTACAGATAAGGTTTACTGGGCCACAGACATAGCTCAAAGAGCGAAGTGCATGTTTTGCATGTGGGAAGATGGGCTTTCATCCCCAGAACCTCATGGTCCCCCCAGTTGCCCCAGGAGCAGTTGTGAAACACTGAGCCAGATATAGACACTAAGCACTGCAAGATGTGGCCCCAAAACTGAAAAAAAAAAGAATAAAAAAGATTCATTAAAACATTCAAGACTCAGGGTATAGCTCAGCAGCAGAGCATTTGTTTTGTGTGCATAAGGCCCTGATTTCCATTCCCCAGCAACACACACACAAACACACACACAAACTCTCAATCATAGAATTCACCCAACTTCTGATGGCATACAATCAAAGCAAAGCACTGACTCCTTAATGACTCTCTAAAATCATGAACACAAGTCCAAATCCTGTTCAAAAAGTCTTTGCACCTCTGTTTCCCTGACACAGTTCCTGCTGGCATGCATTCCCGCTCCTGCAACAAGCCCAACTTGTTCAACCACGGGTGTGTTTCCGGTGGTCTGTGACTGCTGGCACTGACAGCTGACATGATGTCATTATCATTACAGGCCATTGCACTGGCAGAAACAAGAGGAGTCTGGCTGGAAACCTGACTTTGGGAGATAAACTCAGTGCTGGTTCTCTGAACACATCTGTTGACATTGGTTGATTTAGATCATGGACCTCCTAAAACATGAACAAAGGTACTGAAGTGATAGTACAGCAGGCAGAGTACTGCATAAAGCTGACCCAGGTTCAATCCCCAACATCCCATATGGTCCTCCGAGCACTGACAGAAGTAATTCCTGAGTGCAGAGTCAGAAGTAACCCCTGAGCATCACTGGGTGTGACCCAAAAAGAAAAAAAAAAAAGAAAGAAAACAGAAACCAAAAAAAAAAAAAGACCCTAAAAACAATAATAAAAAAAACTGGATGGGAGCTGGAGCAATAGCTCAGCGGATTGGGCGTTTGCCTTGCACATACCCGACCTGGGTTCGATTCCCAGCATCCCATATGGTCCCCTGAGCACCACCAGGAGTAATTTCTGAGTGCAAAACCAGGAGTAACCCCTATGCATTGCCAGGTTGACCCAAAAAGGGAAAAAAAAACTGCATGAAGTCTAGGGAAATAGTTCAAAGGGGTGAGAGTGCATGCCTTCCACTAAGACCCAGGATAGGTTCTGGGCACTGCACAACCTCCCAAGCAGTGACCCCTGGCACTAAGCTGGGAGCGGTCACCAAGCATCTCCATAAACCATAAACAAAAAAGTATAAAACCAAACAAAAAAGTATAAAACCAAACAAAAAAGTATAAAACCGAGATGAAGGAGGAAAAAGCCTAGTTAATGAAATATCCTAAGGAACAATGTTGTAATTAATGGAGGATGCCCTACATTGATCCACTGCCCTCCCATTTCTAAAAACTCCCCCAAACAAGTTCAGAGCAAAGCTGGACGACTGGCTCATGGGCAGAGCCTAAGGCAACACGACTCAAGTACTTTATGCCACATGTTCCAACCCAATAAATTAGCCCAGGCTTAAGGAAGTCAGTCTGCACACATGTAAGAATTTTAATAAGCTTGGAAAATGCTACCTACAGCTTATGCACCAGCTTACTGTACCAAAGGGAGTCCCTGCCACCGGCTGGAGTGCTAAGGCCTGGACAGAAGCTCTAGTGCACGTGGGCAGCAGGGGCAGGGAGGAGGCTCCGTCTAGGTTTTCTCGGGAGCCAGCAGCTCTGAGCTATTTGGCAGGCAGATGCCTGGGGAACAGACTCGAGCACACCGCTCAGGGGAATCTGCAGTATCCACCAGGAAAATATGTCAAAGATTTCTGGGGTGGAAACCTGGTCCTCACTCATCCTTCCAGAGACTAGCAAAGCCTATAATCAATTTCTGCATTTATCAAATGCCTATTTGTCCCAAGAACCGTGTTAGGTACAATAGAGAGTTATTTAGGCAAACAGGTTTTCTGTCACCTAGATGCTGACACCTAATATAAATAAAAACACTAACTCTGCCCAGAGGATTAGCAAAGCTAACTGAACAAACATGAGACAGTCAAAAGCACTGCCCTTAGTTCAATGCAGTGGAGTAAGGCCTGGAGGGTAAGTCATGGGAGATGACTCTCTAAACAGGGCGGGGAGCTAACGAACAGTTACGTTGTTAACGATGAGTCTCCAGCACCTGAGAGATAGCCCAGGTGGTAGGGTGAAGACTTAACATGTGCCTGACCCTGACTCTGCTCCCAGGTACCATATGCCGCCCCCACGCCTCAGCAGCACTGCAGGTGTTAGCCCTGGCGGCTCAGTCATGCCAGGAGTAGTTCTGATGGCTCCCCAGCAACCCCAAGAGTTGCCTTACGCCCGCTAACACTATTGTGTGTGACCTCTACTTTATGGAGGGGCTGGAGAGAGAGTACAGGGGTTAAGGTACTTGCCTTGCATCCTGCCGACCCTGGTTTGATCCCCAGCACAACATGCCAGTACCACTAGTGGTACCGGTTCTCCAACTACTACCAGGGGTCACTCCTGAGCACAGAGCCAGAAATAGGCCTAAGCACTGCTGGGGCCTACTAGCCATCACGTAGTTGAGAAATTGGCCATCACCCCAAAACCAAAAATAAAGAAAAAAAGAGAGGGGGTGGTGTTGTGGAGATAGTTCAAAAGTTGGATTAGCATACGGGAACCCTGAGTTTAATCTGTGGCATCACATGTTCCCTTAAGCTCTAGTACAAGCGATCCCCAAGCACTGAGCCAGGAGCAGCCCCTAAGCACTGCCAGGTGTGGCCCCCAAAAGAAAAACAAATAACAAAAAAAAGATTGAGAGTCCAAGGGGGAGGTCAGCTTTTTATTAGGAATAAGTAACAGTTACCTGATTAAAATTTTTGAAGGTGAACTCTTTGTAGATAGCATCTCTCTCACGTAATTCCAACCATCCTGCTGCCTTAAGGTCAAGTACAACTTGGTTCCTCTCCTCGGCTGTCAATGAGTGAGCATCTGCTGACTATGAAAAAGCAATTAATTAATTAATTCAAATATTTGAAATGAAAAAGTCTAGTTAAATAAATGAAAAGCTATTCACCTTATGTAGTGTTATAGAATAAACTCTCCAGGGTTGCACACAGCTGACCCGAGTTGGATTCCCAGCATCCCATATGGTCCCCCGAGCACCACCAGGAGTAATTCTTGAGTGCAGAGCCAGGGTAACCCCTGTGCATTGCTGGGTGTGACCCAAAAGGGAAAAAAAAAAAGCGAATTCAAAACTCTCCAGGGAACCTAATTCTTATTACCTTTGGTTCCTCTATTCTCAAAATACAAATTTCTCAAATGACATAACAAAATATAGGATGGAGAGACAGCACAGGAGGGAAGGCACTTGCCTTGCATGTAATTGCAGTGGTCACAACCCTGGTTAGAATCCCCAGCACCACATTAAGGTCCCAAGTAATGCCAGGGGTCACTCATGAGCACAGAGGCAGAAATAGCCCAAGAACCCCTGCTATGGCCCCCAACACCCAAAATATATATCTGCATAAACAAAATAAGAAAGCACCATAGTGTATTGTTTCACCATCCCTTACTTAAGCATTCTTGCTCACTTTCTCTAGCTCATACAGATAGATATAAGTGAAATTGGCCATCACCACTTTTACCAGCACCCCAGGATGTGAAAAACTGAGTTGAACACATCCTCCCAAGGAAATCCTCCCCATCTGCTGGCAGGAGCAGGGACCAGAATGGGAAATGAAGGCATGTGCTTCTCTCTGGGTGGTCCCATATCATCGTATTACCCTTTGGAGCTTACTCACAGACTTCATGCTTTCAGACCTGATAAAAACCAGTCTCCAAGAAGAGAGACAAACACATGCTTCAATAGGACTTTGTTTAATAATTTGTGGGGGTCCACAGACCTTCTGAAATACAGGTGAAAAGCCCCTGCCTTAGTGGAGACAAGCTACCTCCACAACGCTAACTCTGGGTGCTGCACTGCCCAGGTCAGGAATTTCTGTGTACAACCTTGTTGCCATTCACCATGCCAATGACATTAATGTAATCTATGGTTCTGCTGGCTAATATTCCCACATTTTCTATGCTACTTGCTTTTTTATTGAAAACCTCTAAATATATCATGGCCAGAGAGAAGAGAAGAAAATGCTTTAGTACAGGTGAGCAAGGCATGGGCTGGAGATAGTATAGAGATTAAGGATCTTACTTGGCATGTGGCAAGCCTGTTTGATCCCCTTATGGTCCCCAAGTGCTGTCAGTAGTGATCCCTGAGCAGAGAGTCAGGTGTAAGCCCTGACAGCTACCAGGTGTGGCTTCCCCCCAAGATAAACAAATGAGCATGAGATAAGTGCTACCTATCCTTCCTACCATTCCTCTATGCAAGTCAAACAACAGACACCGGGAGCCAAAAAATAGAGAAATAATAGACGAGGTAAAGCACTTGCCTTGCACATGACTGTTTCAATTCTCAGGACCACAAAATTCCCTAACCACTGCCAGGGTCAATCCTAAGCAAGGGCCAGGAATAGCCCCTCAGTACCTTGTTTGTGGCCCAAGCCCCCAGTCCCCAAAAACAGATTTCAGGCAGAGAACTCAATGGGCAGAGCACTTACTTTGCATGTAGAAGGCCTGGGTTCACTCCCCAGCACCACAAGTTCCCTTGTGCTAGGAATAATCCCCAAGTACTGAGCTGGGAGTAGCCTGTGAATACCAGCAAGTGTGGCATGTTAAAATACTATTATTACTACTAATAATAATATATAATTTCCTGGATAACCTATTCCTGTCACTCAGAAAGATGGAACTATGAGGGCCTCTCAAAAAAGGGCTAATGGGGGTTTAACTGGATCCTCCACCATATCCGTAACTCACTACCTTTCAGAAAAAAATCCTATCACTGAAATTGATATAATTAAGGGTAAAGAAACTTATTTTACAGCACCTTATTCTACCAGAAGAAAAAGCAAATACCAATGAATCAATTTCCGAGTTCCTCTTCCTTGCTAAGTGAGTTACCCTTCCCATAACTAACAAAAGAGAAGAATAAAAATCCCAAATGAAAATATTTAAAGGATTACTATCAGAAACCATCTACTGTAAGAACCAATATAGGACCACGAGGGGCTGAAGCTATGTAGGACGTTTGCCTGCACATGGCCGACCTGGGTTTGATTCCCAGCATCCCATATGGTCCCCTGAGCACCGTCAGGGGTAATTCCTGAGTGTAAGGCCAGGAGTGATCCCGGTGCATTGCAGGGTGTGACCCAAAAAGAAAAAAAAAATATATATATATATACATATTATATAGAACCACGGAGATGGTTCAAAGGGCTGGAGCTCACATTTTGCATGCTGTAAGGTCCAGGTCACACAACACGAGGAGTGGCCCCTAAGCACCACCAGGATGACCCCCACGAATCCCCCCAAAAAAAGGGAAAAGGAGGAAGAGCAGAAAGTTAGTATAGAGATAAGGCACCAGCCTTGCACGTGGCCAACCCAGAATCTGTCCCTGGCACACTATATGGTCTCCTGAGCAGTGCCAGAATTGATCCCTGATCTCAGGGTCACATCACTGGGTGTGGCCCAAAATTTAAAACAGAAAAAAGGTGGGGATGGGTAAACAGCTGTGGAAAGCAGAATAAATCAGTGAGCTTCTCAGGGTACCCAAATACCCTTATGTCAGAGCAGGAATATTATAGTATTGACAGCAGATATTTTTGAAAGGCTTATGGAGGGATGGGGGGGAGGGCGTGTTGCAGAGACAGTAAAGCCACTGCTTGCCTTGCACCACAGACGGTTCCCCAAGTTGGCCATGAGTGATCCCTGAGCATAGAACCAAGAGTAAGTCCTGACCACTGCCGAGTATGACCCCCAAAGCAAAATAAAACAAAAAATCCTAACGACACGTTAAGGGCTGTGGAACACTTGCTTTACGTGTGTGAGAGGCTCTGGGTTCATCACCTGCACCAAAACAAAAAAGGATAATTAATTTGAGGGGCTCCCGCCCAAAGACTGGGCGTCAGTCACTCAAATCCTGTCTACTTAGGGGGTCTCCTGAAACACCATCATTAGCTTCATCACCAGCACCTTGAGACAGGCAGCCGGCTCGCCCCACTATTGGTTAGGAGGCACCGTACTGGGGTTAAGGCGCTTGCCCTGCCCAGGGCTCGCCAGGTCCATCGCCAGCCCCGCTTATGGGCAGGAGTGAGCCCCTGAGTGCAGAGACAGGAGTCATCGTTGAGCACCGCCGGGGGTGGCCCAAACCTTTCTCCCCTCCACAATAATAATACAAACGTCTTCCAGTAAAGTTAGTGCTAAGGAAGCTAAGGAAGGAATTCGTAAACTGAATGCAACGTTTTCCCACTAGGTGGCGCTGCCTGTTAAAACTTTCCCTCGCGCTGACACCCCCTGCAAAGATTTCTGAAGCACGTCGGCCACGGAACCCCCTCCGAAAAGGAGAATCGCTGCCGCAAAATAATTAACACCTGCTCAACACTATTAACACTGGACGTTCCGCCACCGCGGTGACAGCGAGGGCGCAGCTACGGGGTCGGTGGCCGCAGCCATCCGGCGCGGACCCAAGCCGGACCCGCCACCCGGGTCACCTCCAGTGACCCCAGTGGCTTACATTTTTCCACAGCTACTTTTCATGCTTATATTTGCTTTAATTTAACGAAACGTGTTTGTCTTCCGTTGGCAACTTCATACACGACAGGGGATTCAAACCAAAGAGGAGCTGCCGCGGCACCCCAGCGTGCAAGGGGGCAGGTGCTCGGTGCCCCAACGCGGCAGCGTCGCGACGTCTGAGGCCCCGGGCCAAAGGGCTCCCGCCCCGCTTAGCCCTCCGCCCGCGCGCCGCCGCCCCGCCACTCACCGTGGCCGCCAGCCCCCGCCACGGCGCCAGCAGCGCGGCGGAGAGGCGCCGCGCCGGCCCCCGTAGCCCCCACGCCACCGCCATGACGGCCGGCCCCGGGCTGTCCGGCGCGCTGCCTGTCTGCCTGCCCGCATGCCTCCCGCCGCCCCAGCGCGGGGCCGCGTCGCAGCCGGAGGCCGTGCGCGCGGCTGCCTAGCTCAGGCCTGGTCGCTCCGTGCAGCCTGGCTCCGCGGCACGGCTCGGGCACTGCAAGACATACCCCGCCCCACACACTCCCCACGTGGCAGGCAGCTGAGCGGGCACGCCCCCGCAGGCCCCCGTAAGGCCCCCGCAGCTCAGGCCCCCGCTGCGCACTCCCCGCGCTGTCAATGCGCGCGGCTGAGTCCCAGCCCGCTCTCACTCTCGCACACGCTGGCTCTGGACTTGCGGGGTCGCGGGGCGGGATACTGCGCCTCCCCGGCTCTTGGGCTCGGCACCCCTGACCAGATGTCGCTGTTCCAGGATGTCGATCACGGCGTGGGGGTGCTGGGGGTCCCGCCTCCTCCGCGGCCCTCAACGTGGATTCGAATTCGAATCGTAGCATTAAACAAGCTGCATTCCCAGGCAAGCCTCATCGTCACTGTGTGCTGGGTACTGTAGTCTAGACACTCTGGCCCCCTCTGAAGCTCTAGAAAAGCAGCACAGATGCAGGAACATTCTAAGACAGCGCCCCTTTTGAAGGGGTGGAGGGTATTGGAGCGGGGAGCAGGTAGCACCCTCTCTCCCCTAGCCTTTACATGTTTAATAATTTATTATCGTTTCCCACCCCCACCCTCTTTTTTTTTGGCCTTTCTGCCTTGAGATATGGTTCACATATCACACCTAAGTTTTATTGCTGCGTTTGTTGGATCCAGGCCTGGCCTGCCACGTGGGAGGCATGTGTGTTACTAGCCAAAACTTACCCTTTAAAGAGAAGGATTTGCACTTTGGCACTAGACTCGATGTGGTAACATTGGACCCCTAAAGTATCAACATTTGCACTGATATAAACCAATGTTACCTCAAACACATTTAATATTTTTTCCAAAATTTTATTAAAGCACCATGAATTACAAAGTTATTCATAGGTTGCTGATATACAATATTGTATCACCAATCCCACCACCAGTGTATCCAGATTCCTCTCCTACAACTCATCCTAGTCCCAGTAGGACATTTTAACAGGCACCTTTTAAATCTGGTTATTAAAATTTTGGTCTTACGATTTCAGTGTTGCTGACTCTGGTTCGGATATTCAGCTCTATCGCATTTAATATTTTTTAATTAAAATATGCAGCGGCAGAGAATGAGGGTTAAAGACCTGTCCTTGCATGTGCCTGACCCTGGTTCCCTTCATGAACACAACCTGGAGTGATCTGAGCACAGCCAGGAGTAGCCTTTGAACACCCCTGGGTGTAGCACCCTCCAAATAAGTAAAATGCTCAGTTCTAGCCTGTGGATTTGAAACATGTATGGGATATGAGTCTCTAGGTTAGACCCCGCAGCACAGAGAAAAAAAAAAACTTAACAGAGTGCTATATTCAGTCTTTTTGATACATTGGTTTATATATATTTTTTCTTTTTGGGTCACACCCAGTGATGCACAGGGATTACTCCTGGTTCTGTACTCCTGGCAGTGCTCAGGGAACCATATGGGATGCTGGGAATCGAACCCAGGTTGGCCGCATGCAAGGCAAACGCCCTACCCGCTGTGCTATTGCTCTGCTTACTTCAGCAAATGAATATAAGAAATTTTGCAGAAGACATAGTATACTAGAAAAAATTTTAAGTCACCCTCGGTTCCCACCTCTAGCCCCCTAATATTCCACTGTCTGGCCTGCACAGTCTAAGACTGTATAATCCGCCATGACTCCTAGGATCTCTGAGAACTGCTTAGGAGACCCCAAAACAAATCATTAAATAAATTCAAATTAGCAGTTGTCTACCAGAAGAGGCAAAGATTTCTTTACTTTCCAAATAACCTTTTTCTTCAAAATAGCCTAAAATTTGGTTCCATGGCCCAACCCATCTTTTTTACTTACCCACTTACAAAGATTTAACCCTTTTAAGAGAAAAATCCCAGGGCAGGAATCTGGCTGGAGAATCTGATTTAATGTTACTGGTCTCAGGCATTATCTAAGACACTAGTTTCTTTTGTCTGATGCCTCCGGTGAATGGAGACTAGGGGTGCAATTAACAATTATAGTTCCAGTATTTACAGTGACTGGATTGTGAAAAATATCCCACAATCTTGGCTATTTAGTGATAAATGAACTAGTAAATGTTAAATAACAATTTAGAGACCCTTCATTTCCTTCCCCTAACTACCACCGTCTCCTAACCAGCCAGAACACAGCAGCAGCACAAGGTGCTGTTGGGACCCTGGGTAAGTGGTGTCCACCAGGAGGGGCCTTGACAGCTCTGACCTCACTTGTCCTCTCTCCCACTAACAGGACTTCAGTCCCTGGTGGAGATGTACTGGGTGTCTCTATAGTAGACACACCTGGAAAGGCAGAATGCTCTGTCCGTCAGTCTCTGCAGGGCTGCAGAAGAAGGGGTCTCGGGTGTGGAACACTTCCTTGCCAGCAGAGCCCGCACAGCCTGTGCCAGGATTATCACCTTGTTCGGGAGCATCCTTCCCCCTTTCAGACCTGAAATGTGTGCTCCTCTGTTGTTCACTGTTTCTATCTATGGCCCAGTGGTACATTTGCAGCTTTCAACATATGACTTTGGGGAAGGAGATGGCGTTTTTGAGGTGAGGCTTGAGAAGGTGGGCTCGTAAGTAATTGGCTGCCAAGGGTACCCTCCAGCTATGGGATCAAGCCACCTCTGGAGCTAATCTTTCTCTGCTGCTGCTTTACAGGAAGAAACACACTCATCCATCCAGTGCTTGATGAGGTAAGAATAAAATGTTTGAATTTCTGTGTCTGGTGGCAGGAACTGTTGATGAGCTTTGCTATTCTCCACGGAATAAAGTCCCGTGAGCATTGGTAACCAATGCTCTCTGCCTGATTCAGCTAGTGCTTCATACATGCACCCCCCCACCCCCACCCCACCACCCTCCCCGCCCAATATGTTAACATGCTGAAACTCCCATGGCAGAGTACCTCCACTCTGGAATTCGACCCCCATGGAAATGATACTATACCAAATACAACTAAAGAAGACAGGTTACGAGACTAACGCTAAACCTATAGTTAACTACACAAGTGAGGAAACATCTAAGATTCTATTTTAATAGAATTCAGAGTGCTTTAGGAAGTGGCCGGCTCTGTCTGAAAGAATAGAAATAAAGTAAAATTAAATTATCTGGGCCTGAGATATAATACAGTGGATAAGGCACTTGCCTCTTGCATGTAGTTGACTAAGGTTTGAAACCTTGCACCATATATGGTCCCCAAGCCCCTTTAGAAGTGATCCCTGAGAGCCAGAGAGATAGCAGGTAGGATGCTTGGTTTGCACACAACTGACCCAGGTTCAATCCCAGGACCCCATAGGGTCCTCTGAGCCCACCAGGAGTGATCCCTGAGCACTGCCAGGTGTGGCCCCCAAAACAAAACAAAACCAAAAAATGTTATCCCTGAGCACAGAACCGGGAGTAAACCCTGAGCAATGCCAATGTGGCCCCAAAACAACAAAAAAGCAAAAAGTATGTAGTCAACCATGCCATGATATCCGAATTTAAAGGATGTTTTTAGTATTTTAAATTCAAATTTTTCTTTTTTATCTTTTGGGCACACCCAGTGATGCTCAGGGATTACTCCTAGCTCTGCACTCAGAAAATACTCCTGGGATGCTGGGGATTGGACCCTAGTTGGCTGAGCATGCAAGACGAACACATTACCCACTGTACTCTCTCCAGCACCTTAAACAATGCTTTTAAAACCGTTTTTCAGTGCCAGGGAGAAGGCTCAAAGGACAGGAGCTCGTGTTTTGTAACCAACCCCACACGGAGCAGGAAGGAACCTAAGCACTGCCAGGTGGGGTCCTTCCCCCAAACCGAACTGAAGCTTGTATGACTGCATGTTTTCTCTTTTCTACAGATGTCCTAAGTTATAGACTAAGATCAACAACAAGCCTGGCAGCGGCAGGAACTTTTTAATATTTGCTTAATGCAATTTGGATAGGTAACTATGACTAAAATTTAAATGACACTTTAGAAGAGACCTGATGGGGGCAGAGACAAAGTAGAGGGGTTACCATACTTGTCTTGCTGACCACAGTCAAATCCCAGCACCTATGTTATCCCCAGCACAACCAAAGTTGATGACAAAGTTGATGACCAAAAAAAAACACAAAAAAACCAGAAATGACCTCTGAGTACAAAGCCAGGTATAGCCCCTAAGCAGTGTGGCCAAAACCATTCCTCCCCAAATAATATGTAAATAAAAGATTGAGAATAAATAACTTTAAACTACTATATATGCTACATATAAAATATATATATGTTCTTACATACTACATATAAATATGTAAACTTTAATTATATTTACTTTCTCCTACATCTGCTTTACCCAGAAACTACTTAACTACACAAACCTTTTTTTTGTGTTTGGGGCACAATCAGCTATGCTTAGGGCTGACTCTTGGCATTGCACGGGGAACCTTATGTGGTGCCAGGGATTGTACCAGGGTTGACCACATGCAAGGCCAGCACCTGCCACCCCCCGCCCCTCCCTGTACTCTCTCTAGTCCACCACTTTAAATGCTTTCCAGAAAATCAGAGATCCTAACATCACGGTGTTTGACTTTTAGGTCCCATTAATTGCTACTTGTGAAGTCATACTTATGACTCTAGCTATTCTTCCATAACAGAACAATTTCCTCCTAAGGACTCTGACAAACTGCAAATGAACAGAAAGTTAATCTTCTTAGAGATAAGGAGTTAAGAATTTCCTAGAACTATAATCTGAAAGGCCTGTCTCTGCCTTCTATATAGAAACATATCATTCTAGTCACTATGCCACCAGAAAACATCTTCACATTTTGAATTGGACTATTACTCCCTTACATATAATAGATTATGCTCAGGTAGTGAAATAAGAACAGTAAATTATAATGAATATTTCTGCATTTTCTTATTGCGATACCAGTTAAAACACCAGTTTGTAATGTTTTCAACGTTCAACAGCTTAACAAATGCATGATCCGACAGAAGGGCGGAGTTCCCTTCCCTCAATGGAGCAGGTGTATGGAGCTGTGGCAATCATTCTGTAGTGAAGGACTGACGTTCCTCCGGCCAGCTCCCTCTGGTCCATCACTACTCCACATGTTCCTGCTCTTGTCCTGGAATTAGCCACCGAATATTCTCAGTTCGAATGGTAGCATACATAATAAAACTAATTAAGAAGAATAAAGAAAACACGAGCAACCAGTCCACACTTTTTATCAAGGTACTGGGAAGAGGGCCTATCTGGTCGGCTTGTGTGACCACCACATTTTTCTTGGCTTCTATACCTGAAAGACAAATCAATTGTTTCAAGTCAGATAGAAAGTAAACATGCAAACAGTTTTTTGCTGCAACATTTTGCACTTACTGGAAATGAAATGTGACTCTTAAGACTGCTACAAGTCTATGGGGGGGTGAGTTCCACCTGCCTGCCAGTGTAATTGCTAAGCTGCCCCTCTTCCTGCCACATCAGAGGTGGAGGAGTCCATTTAGCTGTTCAAAGCTAAAATACTGGAGTTCCTGTGAACCCAAGAGAGGGTAGTGTGCTATGAGACTTTCATCTTGTCCAGAAAAGTTGACTCTTGGCCAGAGCCGCAAAAGAAAACAAGTAACATTACTCTCAAGAATCTACAGGGCATTTTCATGGGTTAAGGAATTCTAAATTCCAATGATTTTAAATAAATTTACCCAAAACTGTTAGATTATTTAATCACCACTGTGCTCTGTGATAACAATGCTGGGACTACTAATTCATTTCTGTTCAAGGTTTTCTTAGAGCCCCTGAGCAAAGTGGTTCCCGCTCACCCCGTCAACCTGAATAGCAATCAGGGACCAGTGCAAGATCTGGAATAGCTAACAACTGGGTAACTAACTGAGCCTTTTACTTCTGTGAGAAACTCAGCTCTCAGTTCTTTGGGTCAGACAGAAACACACACAACTTAATATGTATGGAAAAAACAGATGCTTTATTTCCAATTTTTCCAGTGTCCTTTTTATCTTTTCTTTTTTTTGTATTTACTTTCAGTGAATAAACTTTTATTTATTTATTTTTTGCTTTTTGGGTCTGGAGCGATAGCACAGTGGATAGGGCGTTTGCCTTGCACGCAGCCAATATGGCCGACCTGAGTTTGATTCCTCTACCACTCGGAGAGCCGGGCAAGCTACCAAGAGTATCTTACCCGCATGGCAAAAGCCTGGCAAGCTACCCGTGATGTATTCGATATGCCAAACACAGTAACAATTGTCACAATGGAGACGTTACTGGGCCCGCTCGAGCAAATCGATGAACAATGGGAGGACAGTGACAGTGACAGCTTTTTGGGTCACACCCGCCGATGCACAGGGGTTACTCCTGCTGGCTCACGCACTCAGGAATTACTCCTGGCGGTGCTCGGGGACCATATGGGATGCTGGGAATCAAACCCAGGTCAGCCATGTGCAAGGCCCTACCTGCTGTACTATCGCTCCAGCCTAGTGAATAAACTTTAGAAAGAGGAGATGTTCATAAATGAGACATTAAAGCTTTTGAGGGAGTGAACTTTTCCAATAAACTTTGTTGATATTAGTGCTCAATTTATATAAAAAATTGATAACATATGGTCTGAAAACTACTAAGGAATTTAAAGAGCATCTTCAAACGGATTACTATACTTCAGACGAAATACTATAAGGCCCAAGAATACAGCTCCACAAAACAGCAACGTATGTGAAGCTCTGGGTTCAATCCCAGGTGAAACACACAACTTCCCCTACCCCCAGCACTTCACCTCCCCACACACACATTAATGGAGTAATGAGTGTAAGGCTCTGTGTTCAATTCGTTGTTTTTTTTTTTTTTCTGTCATACCCAGCTGTGCTCAGGAGCTACTTCCAGTGCAATGCTCAGGAGTCATTCCAGGGGTTAATGGGGGCAACATGTATCAGGCAACAAGCTCAGGCCTCTTACAGCAAAACACATACTCCTCTCCAGCCCCTAATATGGCTTGGTTTTTTGATGTTTTTTTGGTTTTTTTGTAGGTATCAAATAGGGCCTCATAGATTCGAGGTATGTGCTTTACCACTGAACCACAACCTCAGCCTAAACCTCTTGTTTTTTAAAGGTCACTGTCACTGTCCTCCCGTCGTTCATCAATTTGCTCATGCGGGCCCAGTAACATTGTGAGGCTTATTACTGTATTTGGCATATTGAATACGTTTTTAAAGGTATCTTTTTTTTTAACAAAACAAAAAAACCCTTTAAAATAAAAAGACACCTATAGAAGATATAGAAGAAAAGATATTAAAATTGCCTACTCATGTTAAGCAATAAGACCCTAACAGTTCATCAGGAAAGTAGTTTTACAGGGAATGGCCCCTAAGAAATTTAAGTACACTAGAATTCCAAAAATTGGAGTTTTATATCATAAATCCAGTCTTGAAACCTTTAGAGATAAAAATCACATTAGGACCCCTAGAAGGCACACTGTTCAAACAATAACAACCTTTTTAATGGCATAACCTTTCCACATACCTGTCTGGTTAAAAATGAAGATTTTCAGTGTTTCCAGTGTTCGGTCTGTGTGATTAAATCTAGCCATTGGTTTAGCTCCTTGAAACAACAAGATATTAGGAACGGCTACAGTGCCAAACCTAGTAGAAAGGCTACAAAATAAAGAAGCCAGTCAGAACTCCCAACTTAACAGTGGGCTTCCTCACGCAAGTTTCATAACAGAATGAACGGATGAAGTGAGAAAGAGTCTTTCATGTGACTGATACTCAAACATCTTTCCTTGCGGGTCAATGGTTGAGAGCCTTCCTGTTTTGCTCTCTGAGTTGCTTTCTATTACAAACAAACCCATGACACAATTACTCCACTATTTAAGGTCATACCTGCCAAAACAGATCAGACCAGAAAATTCTCCTTCATTGCCAAAGCACAGCATGTTGATTCACTTGACAGAAGAAACTCTGTCATTTCAAACTCTTCGTAATGCCTAGCTCAATTAAAAATCTGATGTATGGTAAGCAGTTCCCTTAGTGAGTTAGAGAAGGGAATCAGACCAACAACACACCAGGAAGTTCACAATTAGGTTGGGACTACTGGGAAATAATGTGAGCTGAGCAGTACTCAGTACATGTACATGATATGCTCAGTGCTGCCAAGCCTGAATCAAAACACAGCATCCAAACCTCAGCTGTGTGACCTCTGGGCTGGCTGCTTTGACCTCTGCTAACCTCATTCCCTACCTCCCACCCCACAGTAACACTGGGTAATAAAGATTCTCCTCTTGTGAACATACTAAAATAAATATTTTTTAATTTAATTTTTTTCTTAAATTTTTATTAGTGAAACACCATGAGGTACAGTTGTAGAATTACAAATTTTTGTGCTTGGGTTTCAGTTATACAATAATTGAATACCCATCCCTCTACCAGTGCCCATTCTCCACCACCACCAGTCCCAGTATCCCTCCCTCCCCCCATCCCCCCACCCCACCCTACCTCTGTGGCAGGCCATTCCCTTTTGTTATCTTTCTCATTTTGAGTGCTGTGGTTTGCAAAAGAGACATTGAGTGGCAATCTTGTTCGGTTTATAGTCTCCTTTCATCACCCATTTCCCATCCTGAGAGGAACCGCCCATCACCCTTTATTTGGTGCTCCCTTCTCTGTCTGAGCTGCCTTTTCCCCTAGCGTGTGCAGCTGTCCTCAAAGCAATGGAGTAATCCTCCTGGTACTTATCTTCGCTACTCTAGGGTGTTAGTCTCCTATTTTGTTACTTTATGTTCCCCAGATGAATGCAATCTTTCTATGTCTGTCCCTTTCTTTCTGACTCATTTCGCTTAGCATGATACTTTCCATGTAGTACCACTTGTATATGAATTTCATGACTTCATCTTATTAACAAGGAAAGAATATGTCTCAGGCCACATGGTAAGGATTTTCCATTCTCCATAATTAAGGCACTAAACCAGGTAATGGGAGGAAGGCAGGGAGATAAAAAGGGAACAAAGCAGATGATCAGAGGGGGAGGGGGTAGTACTAGGCCCCCAAAGCAATGAGTATGGAGTCAGCTCTGCTAGGGGGCTGGGTGAGGAGCCCCCAGCAAAGCTGGACACTGGCCTGGGCTATCCTTCCAGGCAGATTGTTCCATTCAGCCAGGTCATTTCTGTATTTCCTTGAAGTGCTCATAACTATTTTCTAACTTTTTGGGAAATTTCTTTATTCCTAAACAGGTTAAGCTAAGCTGTGGTAGATATATCACCCACACTAAAAATTTATTTATGTGGTCGGGCCGCAGAGATAGCAAAGCAAGGAGGGTGCCTAATGAGGGTTCAATCCCAGCACCCCATAGGATTCCCCTGAGTACAGTCAGGAGTGACCCCTGAGTAGAGAGCCAGGAATAAGCTCTCTAAGCACTACTGAGTGTGGCCCAAACACCAATAAATAAATAAATTCTCGAGCACATGTTAACAAATCTGTATTTTTTTAATATTTTGTAGGGTGGGGCACATGGGGAAAACTTGAGCCACAGCCTGTTTTGCTCAGGGGATAGTCCCAGCAGGGACCGGCCACATGTAAGATGAGTGTCTTAAGCCCTGTACAATCTCTCCAGCCTAAGTTCATAAAGCTTCACTCAACTTCATCTTACTAACAACTTGAACCATCTCCAAACAGTCCAATTTTATTCACAGACAACCTTGTCATGACTTACGAAGGGGTATCTAACTTAAAGAGAAGGGAAACTGACTTTTTTGGTAAGGGTTTTTCTTCTGCTGTTTCTGTTTTGGCATCACTAGGATCCAAACACATATCATCCACATCCATCACCTGCTCTGTCTCTGAGTTGCCTCCCTCGACCCGTTTATAAACACTTTTTTGACAGTATGCGTAAGGACAGGCAGTGTTGGGAACTGAACCCAGGGCCTCACACATACGAGGTGTGTGCTCTGCCTCTGAGACATATTCCTGGTCTGGAGAAAACACATTTTGTAACCCGAAAACAATTACAGCACTTCATACCAAATATCTGAACAAAATTCACAGCAGCTTACAAAGCATTTGAAAAAGACAAAAGTTCACCCAACAACAAAAAGAAAATTAAAAAATAAAAACATGGGAATGGGCTGGGAGAGAGCTCAAAGGATTAGTGCATAGGCTTTGCATGCAGAAGCCCCAGCGTCATTCCCAAGTACTGCATGGTTCCCTAGCACTGCCAGGTATAGTACCAAAAAAAGGGGTGGGTTGGTGTGGGGAAGGTAAATGCCATTTTAAAGGACTAAAAAAAAAAAAAAAAAGACTCAGTAATTTAAAATTTTGGAAGGAGAGGGGGTCGCACTGAAACACTCAGGGACCACAGGGTGACAGGAAGAGAGCCCAGGGAACCGCATGCAAAGCACGTACCCAGCCCTTTGAGCCATCTCTCCAGAAAGCAGGGCCTTCTGCTTAGGAGCATCCAGATAAGGGCACCAGCTTACCCAGGAGTCCATGCGGCTCACACTTGCCTTTCCCTTCCTTCAGTCCCATTTCAAAGCTCACACCTATTTCCTCCACTTCTAAAAGAATTACAACCTACAAATCACTGCAGCCATTATCCCAATGGAATGATGTAATCCCTGTGAAACGCATACCTGCTGTGCTGAGATGCATCCAGTGCCAAAAAATGAAGAGCTGGAAATGCCCGGGGCAGAGAATTAAAATGAGGGGCCAAACTGGCAGAAAATCGGCACCATGGTGTGTAAAACAGGACTAGAGTACAGTCACTACCATTGGGGTTTAGAAAATCCATAAGGTCCTGTGGTATAAGAAACAAGTGTTAGGGTTGCAGTGCAAATACACGCGTGCTTTTCTGAAGTAAGCCCCCAAAAGAGAGGAAACAGCTGCCTCCAGGAAAAAAAAAAAAGTGGGAGGAAGGGATAGATTCTCGTACCCACCCCTCTACTCCTTTAGTAACCTTTTATATTTTTAACCACATGGAATCCACAGGAAATGTACCATCAAATAACAAATTCTGAGTCTCCCCCTAAACTTTCCTAACAGCATTATCAGGTTATTTTAGTACTTAATTCATCAACTCAAAAATTTCCAGGATGGTGGCCTCACCACAGTTACGTCTGCATGAGGCAGTCGGTTCAATCAATTCAAAGGCTCAGCAGCCCTGGTCTCACACTCATGAAGAACTGTTTGGGGCTCCTCCCAGCCATGCCCGTGCTGGCTCTGAAGCAGTGTCAAGGCGCACTGTCCACCAGGCATGCAATGAAGCCCCGAGCATGGAGGGCTGAGAGAGTCCCATGTCCTGGATGTGCCCTCATTTAAAACAAACATGAACACAAATAGCCATCACCGCTGGGACTTCTCTACAGAAGTGGTCTGGATTCATCCTGCTCCCAGTCCCACAGAAAGAATCCCCTTAACAGTCCTACGGAAAAAGTCAGTTGTCACCCTGCTCTGCCTGGAATCACCATTTGTTCAACAAGCTGGAAAAGCAGGCCTCAGTGTGGACAGCTGTCAGGTGACATGAGAGCAAACATGACTCCCTCGTTGCAAGAAAGAAACTTCCCATCACTTATTAACACATATTAACAAAACCTACCACTTCAGCCACATCCCACGTCCACAGCTCAGATTAATTTTTCCCTTTTCCTTTTTTTTTTCTTTTTTGGGTTTTGGGCCACACCCAACTGCTCATGGCTTACTCCTGGCTCTGTGCTCAGGGATCACTCCTGGTGGCTGTTAGAGAACCATATGCAGTGTGAGGGATCAAACTGGGGCCAGCCACAAGCAAGGCAAGTGGCTTAAAACCCCTGTAATATCTCTCTTGTCCAATTCAGACATTTTTTAGTTGTTTCTGTAATAAGTACTTTATTGGGAAGAAGAAAAACACCAGGCACTGACCTGTCCACTGGGATTTAACCTGATGCTTAGTGGTGAAATGGACAAAGACAACTAGGTCTAACCACCTAAGAAGCATAATCAGCCCATCACACACTCTGCCCTGCAAATACCCCAGAGCTCAAGGTCCATTTCACCAGCAGAGCCATGACACTCACACCACTCCCACCCACAACAGGATGAAGATGATGACCCTCTGTTTGAAAGACACTATAGCATCATACCATGGAGCCAATGTGCTGAAAAGGAGAAAAGTACCAAATAAGCTGCTCTTACCTGGGACATGTTTAAAATTTTCAGAGTGAAATTTTCCAGTCCTGTCACATTTCTCTCTTCACAGGTCACCTTTGGGGACTTCAGACTCTCGGTGTTATTCAAGTCCTCAGCTGGGACGGGGTCTGACTCTGCCACCTCAGGTTCGGGGTAATACTCCTCCTCCCTCTCGGGAAAGCTGCTCCCCACGCTGTCCAGTGAGTAGAAGCTCTCTTGGAGGCTGCACCATGAGTCCTCCTCCCCGTCAGCCCCACAGGTGCCACCACTGGCCTCCGAGCTCAGTCTGTCCTCAGCCTCCCCCGGAATCACAGACAGCATCACCATGGGGTCCCCCTCTGTGTCCAGCGCCAGCACTGCATCAGCCTCTTCAGCCGACAGGTCCTGGCCCACGGGGCGGTGGGAGGCCTCCTCCTCACTCCCATACACAGCTCCCAACGGCAGTGGGTGAGCGGGCTGCTCCTCTGACCACAGGTGACCACTGTCCTCTGCAACTGACACAGGCCAACATGGTCACAGGCATGTTGGACTTTCAACTAAGTGAACCCCAGCGAAGTAAAGTGCTCTCCAACAGGGCACTTTCACCTCCCAAGAAAATACCTTGCCCGTGCAACAAACAAGCAGAGGGCCACCCACCCTATTTCAGGACAGGAGAACAGGGGCTGGGGCCATGATACAGTGGTAGGGTTCTGGCCTTACTGGGTTTGATCCCCAGCACTCCAGAGTTCCCCAAGTCACCAGTGATGATCCCTAAGTTCAGAGTCAGGTGTAACCCCTGAGTACCACCTGTGTGATCCCCAAACAAAACAAAACAAAAAACAGAAAGGAAAAAAAAAAAGGAACAGGAGAGCAGTGAGAAGGGGGTGCCAGATTAATAAGCATCAAACAAGGAAATGGACAAATGCACAGCTTTGTGCCAAAAGCTGCCTACCGTGTGAATAATAAGCAAAAACATTCCAGTGCAGATATCAAATGATGAAAATATAACACAAAAACTTTGACATTTTTCTGTGCTCTGTAAACATCACCTAGAGAGTTGTGAAGACATAGTAAAGCAACTCAGTGGCCAACCCAAGTTGGAATCCTGTCACCCCACACGTTCCCCCTCAGTACCATCAGGGGTGAACCCTGAGTGCAGAGCCAGGAGAGAGCCCTGAGCAATGCTTGGTGCCCAAAATAATAATAATAACAATAAGCTTAAAAAGCATGATGCCTTTAGGGAAGATTCAGCTATGGCAAAGCATCTTTGCATACACGCCCACTTGATAAAGGAGCGTGGAGAAACTCGGTGTACTGCCAGCACAGTGGCATGCGGCTAACTCAGCAGCAGAGCCCATTCAAGGAGCACAGGCTTCTGATGCTACTGCAGAGGGGGTTCTCTGTTCCTGCACCATCCCGGGGGGTGCTCAGGGCTGCTCTGCCTGAGGAACACAGTGGGGAGCACACAACGGCATCTGCTGCCTGCTGCCTTGGGGCTAGGTCCATGGCGGTGCTCTGAGTGCCCAGCGAGGCAGGGGCAGCAGCAGGGAGGAGAGAACTTTCCTCTCCCTTTGGAGCCACTAGGTAAGGTGGGGTGCAAGGCCTGGGGACAGGAAGGGCCTGGGGCATCTTCAAGCAGCCATTCTGTAACCACCATCCACCTCTGTGACCACTCCTGCCCTCCACAACCATGGCCAGACTCTGCCAAGAACTGACCATGGCAAACTGGGGTTCAGCTGCATTTGGATATGCTCAGGGTGCTGCTGGGCTGCCACCAGCTGTGTAAGGAGCTCTGCCAGGCCAATAGCACATCACCCAGGGTGCCTGCGAATCACCACTGGCTTCCCAGTGGGGAAGGAGTCGGGATACCTGAGGTACGCACATTTGTGGAAGGCCTCAGAGACTACTCTAAAGATCTGCATATTCCTTTAGCAATTCAAAAACATTCTCTGGAGCCAGGAAGAAGCATGCAGTGCATGCAGCGTATGCAGAAGCTCTGGGTTTAAACCATAGCAACACATAGTCCCCCAAGCAATGGGCTTGAGAAGACACCAAGTACCACCAAGTGTAACCTCCCACCCAAAATAATAAGTGAGAATAAAAAATATTTTAAAAAATTGTTTTTAAACCTCTTTTTAAAAAGTTTTTAAAAGGACCCTTTCTAAAGTAAGAACATTGGGGCTGGTGGGGCTGGAGTGATAGCACAGCGGGTAGGGCATTTGCCTTACATGCGGCCAACCCGGGTTCGATTCCCAGCATCCCATATGGTCCCCCGAGCACCACCAGGAGTAATTACTGAGTGCAGGAGTAACCCATGTGCATTGCCGGGTGTGACCCAAAAAGCGGGAAAGAAAAAAAAACCAGGGCTGGAGCTATAATATAGTGGGTAGGGAATTTGCCTTGCATGCAGCCAACCCGGGTTCGATTCCCAGCATCCCATGTGGTCCCTGGAGCAACATCAGGAGTAATTTCTGAGTGCAGAGTCAGGAGTAACCCCTGTACATCTCCGGGTGTGACCCAAAAAGAAAAAAATTAAGAACATCAATGAGAGCTGAGGGGATAGCTCAATGGAATAAGTGCATGCTTTGTAGGCACAAGACCTGAGTTCAATCCCTAGTACCACATGGTCCTCTTGCACTATTAGAAGTGACCGCACTCATGCAAAAGCGAACACACACACACACACACACACCAATCAGTGAGCTACTAGACAATGTCAAGTGATCTAATAAAATTGAAGTGCCCAAAAGAAAGACCATTAGGAAGACAGAACATGAAGAAATAACTAGATTTTACAAAGTTGATGAAAACTATAAATCCATTGAACCAAATATAAGTGGAACTAAAATAGAGATAACAGCAGATTTCTCATAACAATACAAGAATTTTTAGGAACTAAGAAAATAATCGTTAGACAGGAGAGATCACTTGTTGGGCTGGAGTGAATGCTGTGCATACAGAAAACCCAGGTTCTATCCATGACACCATGACACCAGGTTCTATCCATGATCTCCTGGTAGGAGCAAGTCCCAAGCCAGGAGTAGTCCCTGAGAATCAGTGGGTATAATTAAACCCCAGCAAAACAAAAAAACAAAGGACAAAACCCAATAAACCTAGAACTTCTATACACAGCAAAAATATTTTTCAAGAGCCAAAAGGGAAAAATACTTTGACATATGAAAGCTGGAAGAATTCATAACCAACATATCCACATGACAAGCATCTTAAAATAGTTCTTTCAGGCAGAAGAAAATTGATACCAAATGGAGTTGAGGATGTTGCTGAGGTAGAGCGAATGATTCATATATGTGAAACCATGGGTTAGCTCCCCAGCACAACAAATTATAAAAGATTAATAAAAACTATACATTCTTATTTTCTTAATAATCCACAAAAAGGAATGGAGAGCAGCAGAAATGGTGTCTATGTGGGTAAATTTACATATTTATTCCAAAATGTTAGCTATGAAAAAGACAGAAAAAAAATGGGTAGATGCTATGGGTAAGAGGTTATTTTGGTTTCTATTTTGTTTTTTTGTACCTGAGGGAAACTGAAGGATATAAAAAACTTATGGGAAAGTGAACACAAAGAAAAAGGTGACCAAAGCTGGAGCGATAGTACAGCAGGTATGGCGTTTGCCTTGCATGTGGTCAATCTGGGTTGAATCTCCAGCATCTCATATGGTCCTCCCAGCACTCAGTAGCAATTTCTGAGTGCAGAGCTAGAACTAAGCCTTGCACACTGCCGGGGTGACCCAAAAAGCAAAAGCAAGAAAAGAAAAAAAAGTGACAGTACACTCAACAGGGCAGACTTCCTGTCTGCTGTCTTTGACAGGGTGGGTCTTCGACAGAAAAGGGTCATGCACTTATTTAACTAGAATTAGAGACAGGGCTGGACCCCTGGGTATGGAACTTTGCCAATCCAACAGGTAGTATCACACCGGAGAGCCTACCTTTTGGCTGATGGGTATGCCTTGCTTATGTTATTAGGAGACACAAACAAACCAGCATATTTGCTGGGTTGATCACATGGCAGAGTAGGAAGTAAAGGTATCAGAGAAGCTAATGCCTAGGGAAGAAAGAGGGGTGCCAAATGTGGAGCTGACCCTTCTCTCAAACACCCCGCTCTGCAGTGATCTATTCTCTGAACCGAATCAATAGTCTAAGTCCTACACCAGAATAGAGAATGTCAGCATCTTGAAAGAATCTCAAGGGGAAAAAAAAATTGGGGCACAATTCAGAATCAGGTTCTCCCTGATTACCCTCATGTAACAACGAACAGATGTCCCCTAGCCCATATAACAGAGGTCCGAGTGATAAGGAGAGTTTGGGAAAATTGTTTTCCCTTCAACTGAAGAAACTCAAGCACGCTGTATAGATGAGGATGAGAGTAATCTGTATGCCCTCAGATATCACTGTTCTCGTTTTGTAAGTGGGAAGAAATGACCTGCCATGTGAAAGCCATAGCGGCACCTCATGGCGAAGTGCCTCTTAAGAGACTGCTTATCAGTTGGATTTGACACAAGGGTTTCTGTGGCAGGGGAATCAAATGGGAGAAAAGAAAAAAACAGCCTGGAACCGGAAGGGCAGCAAACCTCATTTTCACAGTGCAGAGTCAGGAGGAACCCTGTGCATCGCCAGGTGTGAACCCCCCTCCCAAAAAAAAAGATAGTACAGCCAATGGGATGTTTACCTTGCATACTGTGCCAACCTGGGTTCAATCCCTGGCATCCTATATGGTCCCCCAAGCACCACCAGGAGTAACCCCTGAATTCAGAGCTAGGAGTAACCCCTGAGCACTGTCAAGTGTGCCCAACTCCCCCCCAAAAAAAGAAAAAAAATTCAAAACAAAGAACACAGAGAACAACCACTTAGGGCACAGAAGGCTGGAGAAGGATGCAGAGGACAACTAAGAAAATACCCTGCACACCACACTGCTCCTCTCTGCAGCTAGCAAAGAGGTAAAGAAGTTGATCAGAAGGGTCAACTGGAATACCAGCCATGGGGCTTGCAGGGTGGCTCCTAAACCCCAGGTTGCTTCCCTGGCATAGGGCTTAGTGACTGAGGAGTCATGCTGACTCAGCTAACACAGACGTCACAAGCACAGGTGAACTGCACCAATGCTTGCATGCTCTGGGCACAGTGCCTGGCACACAGTGAGCACGTCCATCTGATGGTAACTGTATGACTTTCTTTTTTTTCTCTTCTCCGGTATTGGGGCCACACCTAGTAGAACACAGATCTTACTCCTGGCTCTGTGCTCAGGTGTCACTCTTGGGGTTTCTGCAATCAAACCAGATGAGCGGCATGAAAAGCAAGCACCCTACTCACTGTACTATCGTTCCAGACACTGAATGACTTCTCACTCTTCCCACCCTTGCCCCTGTCAGCAAGCCCTGCTCCATCCACGAAACCCTAGGGAAAGGAAGGACCTGCTGGCTCCTGTTAGGGCCTGAATGACAAGACCAAAATTTTAGTAGGCACTAGGCATAGGGCGGAGAGCAATGCCTGCACTGAGGACTGCCTCCAGGTTACTTCTCTCCTTCTGCAAGGAGCCCAAAGTACTTGCCAAGCCTGGCAGTAGTAATCCCATTGGAGTGTGCAGGGGGATTTTGGGTTCCCAAGGGCATCTAAGCCAGAGTGGCCTTCAGATGTGGCAGCGCAGGGGGTGGGGGGTGGGGGGTGCTGGAGAGATAGTACAGTGAGTGGGGCACTTGCCTTGCACTTGGACAACGATCCCAGGCATCCCATATGGCGCCCCGGCACAACCAGGAGTAACGTCTGAGTGCAGAGCCAGGTAAGTAACCCCTGAGCATCTCTGGATGTGGCCCAAACTAAACTTCCCGCTCCAGCCCCACCCCATACCCACCGGCCAACAGGGAGGAGGGGCAACAACGGGCGTCGGGGTGGGTGACACAGGCTCTGCCATGCCCCAGAAGTGAGGAATTATGCAGAGCATCTTCACGGGGGACGCGGAGACGCGAACGCGCCCTGCCCGGGGGAACAGCCGCGGGCCCGGGGCGGGGGGGTTGGGGAAGGGAGTGGCGGGCCGGGGGCGCTGACAGGTGGGAAGGCACTGCGGACGGTTCCGGGGTCCTGCCAACGACCCTGGCCACGTCGGCCCCCCTTTCGAGTCCGTCTCTTTGGAAAGGACGCGCTCGCGGGAGGCTCTGGCCAGGAAACGAGAACGGAAGGTCACCCCAGACCGACACACGCAGGTGTCCGCGGGCAGCGCGGGCCCGGCGCCGCGGCCGAGTGCGCCGCCCCCCCACCCCCCCAGCCGCCTCGCCCCGCCGCGCCGCGGCACTCACCGTCCTGGCCGCGGGCGAGAGGCCCCAGCACGCACAGCAGGACCTGCCACCAGCCGAGGAGCCGCATGGCGCTCAAGGACCGCCGTCTCCCGGGCCCAGCACCCAGGCCGAAGGGCAACCGGCGCACGGAGACGCAAGCCGCGCTCCTAGTCGGACGGAGGCAGGGGGCGGAGAGCCGAGCGCGCGGGCGCGGCGGCGACATCTTGGCTGCTGGCGACTGCGCCGGGCGCCATCTTGGAGTCGGGCAGCTCTCGCGCGAGGCTGGCGCCGGGCCGCTCGCGCTCCCAATTCCCGCCCCCGCCCCTACGTACGCGGCCGAGCGGCGGTTCGAGCTCCGCAGCCTCTACCTGTGAGCTATACCCGCCCCTTCGCTCCCTCTCCGGACTCCTTCGGAACCAAGTGTCCCCCAATCTCAGGTCTCTGAGTACTTTCCCGACCACCAGGGCCCTGGGCGACGTCCCGCTTCCGGGTCCCTTATGCTCTTTCTTTCCCTGCTGGACCTGGCTACTAGGGCTTCCTTCCAAACCTGAGGGGCTTCCTCCTCCAGATTGCAAATCAAATCTTCTGCCTTACTCAAGTAAACCTGAGTTAGAAATCGTCACTGCAGCCTGGATGAAAGGAAGAAAGCCTTGTTTTCAGAGGTGAAAGTTTAGATGAGGAATAAGACAATAGCGTTCTTTTTCTCTGATTCATCTGTTTGCAAACACCCGGGTAATTAGGATTAGACAGGCTTTACAGTAACACTATAGCACTGTCCTACCTGTGGTCATCGATTTGCTCAAAAGCGGGCACCAGTAACGTCGCCATTGTGAGACTTGTTGTTACTGTTTTTGGCATATCAAATACAGCCATGGGTAGCTTGCCAGGCTCTGCCATGCGGGGAGGATACTCTCTGTAGCTTGCCGGGCTCTCCAAGAGGGATGGAAGAATACAACCCAGGTCAGCCACATGCAAGGCAAATTACAGGCTGTGCTATTGCTCCAGCCCAGGCTTTACAATAGAAGGGAAAATTACATTAAAGTAATAAAAGGTCATAAAGCATTTGTCCTCTGATGGCATATGGCAATTCCCAAGATCCTAGCTGAACAAGAAAAATATCTTTTAAACTTGGAGATCAATCCCTTAGGCAGGGCCATTCTTATCTAAATACAGTGGGAAATGCAAATGAAGAGAAAATTTCATCCTGTTATTTTGGTTAGGTGGAAGATTGGCCCATCCTTAAATGCATCCTCTGCGAGGGTGTAAAGTAGATGGGCTAGGGCTGCAGAGCTCTTATGGGCCTCTGCAGGCCTGGTCGGCCAAATAGATAGCACAGAAGGTGGGAGTATTTGCTTTGCACACAGCTGACCAGGGTTGAATCCCTGGCATGGTATATGTTCCCCCAAGCCCCACCAGCAGTGATCCCTGAGCAGCATCAGGAGTAAGACCTGAGCAGTGCTGGCCCCCCCAAAAAGGGGGGGGGCAAATTCTTCAAGAAAATGAAAAGGTTGACTGTCCTGGTAAACAATTAGAGTAACTTAGTGGAGAGAGCCTCCAAAGATTAAACTAAACTATGAATAGCCAACAGAGCTATGTAAGTGTAGAAAGTACTTTATAAATGGAAGATGTTTAAAGAGTAGAAATAGGGCTGGAGAGTGTGCACAGGAAGTGAAATTTTCCCTTGTTATGTGGCTGATGCTGGTTTGATTACCAGCACCACAAAGGAGTGACACCTGAACACAGAGCAGAAACAGCTCAACATCACTGAGGGTGGCCCAAATACCCGCTTCTCTCCCCTTCTCTCCCCTCCCAACTCTCACACACACAAAGATGAGTTCCATTATGTTTACCTTCAGTCACCAGTAAGTATAACAACAGTAAGAGAAATGCAGGCTTTCTGGCTATGTAAATTTCAGCTCCAACCTTTATAACATTTTTTTAGAGGGTTAGGGAGTTGGGTCATACCCAGTGGTACTCAGGGATCACTCCTAGTGGTGCTCAGGAGTGATCATGTGTGACAGGGATCAAACCCAGGTCAGTGGGACACAGGGCAAGTGCCTTACCCACTGTACTATCTGTGCTATCTGTGCTCCCCAGCCGTGGAGCAGAAGGTTCAAAATTTCTCCATCTGTAACATGGGAATGGTGATAGTTATGTGGATCAGAGGAGCCAAAACATGATGAGCTTGATGCCTTTGCACACAGTAAAAACTTCAAAGTGGTAGCTTTTTATATTCCTAGCATACAATTCTAGAGAAGTAATCATTGTACCCTGTGCCCAACAAAGAGAAGCTGATAGTCCAGAAAGATGCATCATTAATCTGACCCATGGGTGATTTGTTTTCAGTGCTAGGGATCCAATCATTCATATGGAATGGTTCTTGTTAACAGCCTGCCATTTTACTGTAGTAAATTCTCAAGTGCTTAAGGACAAGAAAAAGGGTACCATAAATGAAGAACCCATGGTTCTGGAGATGATCACAAGTCACCAGTATACTACCAACCTTAATCCTAAGAATACACAGCAAGCTTTTTTCTTGGGTGGGTGGGCAAAAGGCTCCTAGGCAACTGCTTAGGAGGCCCAGGAAGCCCATTGATGACTCTCAGTCATTGGTTCAACACAAGGGCCCAAGGATGCAATGCTGCTCAGGCCCTGTAGTGTCTGGGATAGCAGTGCTGGTGGCCTCCATGGCCACAGCCAAGAAAGCTCAGGTAACCAAGTGGTGACAGAAAACGAACCTGGTGTCTGTGATGCACCCTAACCACAGTACTAACCAGCCCGTAACAGCAGTCTTTCAACATTACCATGCTCTGCCATACTTCCAAACCTGGTATGAGTAAATATAAATATAAATGAATATAAGTAAAAATAAATATGACTTAATTGATCATTGTGTAATTGAAACCCAAGCACAAAATTTGTAAGTCTACAACTGTACCTCATGGTGTCTCACTAATAAAAATTAAAAAAAAAAAGGACTAAGAAGATTTAGGATTAATAAAAGGTTGATTTGCTGCATCTGGACATTCAAATGTGGATACCCTATGGTTACTACTCCCTCCTTTTTTATTTATACTTAGCTGGGGAGAGTGGTTAGGTCACACCTGGCAGTGTTAAGATGCTATTCCTGGCTCAGTGCTTGGAGGCTGATTCCAAGTATTCAGACTTGAGTGGTGCTGGGACTGAAGCCCTGCCTCCTCCACACATGTGCAATAGGCCTTTGAGCTATATCCTTGGCCCTCTGTCCATTTTAATGTCCCTTTTCCTTTCTTGTGTTTTGGCAGTTTAGGCAGAAACACCAGTGTTGGTACTATAATCTTTCACTAAATATTTAATATACACTATCAAATGACAGACACTTTAGTAACTGTGGTTAGATAGAATGCATACTTTGGCCATCTGGCCACCAGGTGGCACATTCTGTTGGGAGGGACATGGAACCCAATACAGATAGATGGCTTTTTAGCCACACCTGGAAGTGCTCAGGGATCACTTCTAGAGGGGCTTATAGGACCATATGGGGTGCCAGGAATCAAACCAGGTTTGGTTGTGTGCAAAACAAGCACCCTGCCTGATGTACTATCACTCCAACCTCAACAAGTAAATATTTCTATGATTACTATTTCTGAAGTATGAGGGGAGGGCCTGTAAGAATATCCAATAGAAAGGAATTCAAAATCCAAGAAACTGGGCTGGAGTGATAGTACAGCGGGTAGGGTGTTTGCCTTGCATGTGGCCGACCCGGGTTCAATTCCCAGCATCCTATATGGTCCCCTGAGCACCGCCAGGAGTAATTCCTGAGTGCATGAGCCAGGAGTAACCCCTGTGCATCACCAGGTGTGACCCAAAAAAGCAAAAAAAAAAAAAAAAATCCAAGAAACCAAGCTAGTTCAGAAACAATTGTGTATGGTGAGTAGGAGTAGCAAAAGAGTTGAGAAGAGATGAAATAATCAGATCACAAAGGTCATGAAAATGTGGTGTTTCTTTTTAAATTTTGGGGCCACACCTTTGTTCAGGCTTTACTCCTGAATCTGCATGCACCAAACTCTTGATTTAACCACTAGCATTGTTCCTCGACCACCACCAGAAGTAAACTGAGTACAGAGCTAGAAACCCTCAACTCCACCGGGTGTGGCCCCAAAATGAGAAAAACAAAAATCTGACCATGTTTACGATCTGAATCTTTTGTGAGGGAGGTTGTTTTTGCTTTGAAGGCAAGGCTAATCTTGGCTCTGTACACAGGGATCAAACAAGGGCCTCAGACATCCAAGAGCTTTATTAAGCTACATGCCTAACCTAAAATCACAACTTCTATATGACATAATTTCTTTTGTATTTTTTCATTTATTGGGGTGAGGAGAGGGAAGAGTTTTGAGTCAAATCTGGTGGTGCTTCAGGAACTGTACATGGTGCCAGGAATTTGAACCAGGGTCATGGCTGTCACAGACATAGGCAAAGCAAACACCTCCTCTCTCCATTAAGACACATCAAGCATCAGAGAGTACAGTGGGTAAGGTGCTTGCCTTGCACACATTTAATACGGGTCCAATCCGTGGTCCCCCAAGTATGCCAGAAATGATCCCTGAGGATAGAACCAGGTGTAAGCCCTGAGTACAGCTGGGTGTGGCCCAAAACCAAAAGCGTATTTTTAAAAATCTCACTATGCCAGACAGAGATATGAGACAAGATGCTTGCCTATTGGTGATCCCAGGGATTTCTTTTTTTTTTTTTTTTGTAGTGCCAATCCCTGAATCTATAGAAACATTTACAAAAAATGCAGATGAATAAATTTCAGAAAGCACACCCAAAGATAAGTAATTTCCAGTTTTAGGAAATAATTCCATTTTAAAAACTTTCCCTTTCTTGAATAAATAAACAAAGTTGGTTTTAAAGTAATGACTTTATTAATAAATATACATCCATATGATGATGTAGATACAAATCATGAACACTACTCCATTCCCATACACATAATTGCACACGAGTAGCTCAAGTTCATGGACATAAAAACATACACAGTATCTATTTAGACTTTTTACAGCAGAGGATAGCGTGCTTTTATCAGTTAATTGGTAATTATTTCCTTTGTAATTATCTGTGAAAAAGGAAACTGAATTTAATCAAAGTGGTCTGATCACTATAAATCACACACTTGATTAACTATCGCATTAAGTTTTAAAAATTAAATACGTTATATGTGAGAGCACAGATTTATCTACTTAGGGCAAGGAAGGGGAAAAGCAAAGGAAAGATTTAGATACATCCTAGAGTTTAATAGCATATAATTACACTACAATGAAAACATAATAGCATCAAAATATTTTAGGTCAGAGAAAGAATATTTTTAATAACTGTAGTGTACCCTTGTATTTTATTTAGGGATCATAAAATTTTACTGTATAGAGAGACAATGACTGACCAAGTAGCGGTTATCATCAATATCCCCTGAATTGTTCTTTTAAAGCTTCTTAGATAAAAAGAAGTTTTCTTTAGCTCACACACTGGGTTTTCTTATACTGGATTGGTCACCATTTAATTATGGATCCAAATAATATTTTTCCTCCTTAACTCAAAAATTTTCATGATAATATGTATGTAAATTCACACAAACATTGGTTTGGAATGAGTATCATTCTTATTACTTTGACATGTTTATTTTAAAAAGTAAATTAAAAATATAAAGAATTTTTAGTCTAATTGACACATTTTAAAAACATCCCCAAATAGTAAAAATTAATCAGTTATATTATTTCTTCCAATACATTAGGCCAATATTTTAATCCAGTGCAAAACTCCAAAGATAGTATCAAAATCATCCCCTACTAAAGATTAGTTATGCAAGATTGTATCTGTCAAAAAATGAAAATTTCATTATACTAAATCCTTATTTGTTAATAAAAGTAATAAATAAGGCATGTTATAATTTTTAAAGAAAAAAGTAAAGCAAACTTACTTGAATAGCAGATCATTTTCTGACCAACAGTTTTAATACAGAATAGTGAAACCTATTTTGTGAAGAACAGAATTACACAATATAAAATTAGCGATTTACCTTTCAAGGAACAACCATACAGTGGAGGAAAAGACCAGTTTTCCCCAACTGATTTATATTAAAGTATAGGCAATTGTTTAACATGCTATTCAGTGTTTATCATGACAAGAGACAGTGTTACAAAAGATGCACAATGTAGTCTTTAGATTATAGAGAAGTAAAAAATTGCCTATTTTAAGACTTTATTCATGTTCTCACTTAGATGTCTTTTTCTTCAGCATGGCACCAACAAACTTCATAAGGAGAAAGGTCACTGGAACCAGGAACTAGCAAACAGATCTAATACACCAGGCATTGCTCATATGAACAGCAAATTCAGCTTTCTTAAAGGATGTTATCCATTCACAACTGTAGCCATTCGTTTTCCCCCCTTGTTCCATGGACATAGCTCCTGATTATTAATAAACACTGTTATAAACACACTTCCTTTAGTTGATTTCACCATTTCATTAACATGTATACAAAATTCGTTATACAATACACCTGCTTTTATCTTCCAACACACAGCACAGCACCATTGAGTAGATGTGCTAAAGGGTAGAGGGCAAAGGGCAGGGGAATTAATATAGGAAAGGACAAGCAGAAAGGTAATGGTGTGAATGAGAAAATCTGGAATGAAAATAAACTGAAAAGGAAATGTCAAATGGACATGCCACAAAATATGCAATCAGATCATTGACAACAATATGTATTATTACAAATATAACTAAATTTCTAACATTTAATTAAAAACTGTTTTCAAACTCGAGTATCTGAAAGCAGTCAACCACTAAACATCTCGAAAAACAGCTAAATGACTGATACATAAAAGTAGATAGATGAACATATGAAAAAAGATGGAAGCATTTGATGGGCTGGGGATAGCTCAGCTGTAGAGCACTCTGCCTTGCATGTTGTGAAGCCCTGGGTTATATGTCCAGAATAATTATTTTTAAAAAAATTTAATTAATTATGTGTGTCAGAAGTTATACTGTTCTGAGTAAATTATTAAAAGCTTTATGCTTTAAGCTTCAGTAAGAAGAAACTTTGAAGCAATTTAGCTGCCAGAATGTTACAACTGATTCAGTATTTTTCTCTATAGTTTGTGCAAAGCCAAGATTTTTGAGGTCACTGTCTTTGATGCCAGTGCACACACAGTACCCACATATAATGTAACACCTCTTACTGTAAAGAGCAGCATAAAGTCCACCTCATTGTGTCAGGCATCACTGGAACACCTGAAGGCTTGCTGCTTTTTTCCTGATAAAAAAGGTATGAAACACGACATCTATTTGCAATCGACTTTGCATTAACCTCAGCAAGCCTAAACATTATGCGCCCTTTTAAGGTTTTAATTATTTTTTAAGTTTCTGGGTTCTGAAAATCTATATTCTAATATTGAAAGTATTTAAAAAACAACTACATTATAACCCTAAAGGTCAGTGGAAGTTTTTTTAAAATCCAAAGTTTATATATTTAGAACTTAGAATAAATAATGGTATTTTACAAAGAATGTCACTTTCCGAAAGAAGAGAGATTTCCCCCTGTCCCTACTATACATAACTTCCCAGTATATTTTTCTTTTCTCTCTTGCTTCTAAAGCAAATAGAGCTGGAAAAAAATTTTTTTGGATGAGTGGTCTCACTAAAAGAGACACAGTTTGATTATTAATTAAAATAAGCATTTTTTTTACATGTTTCATGCATAGATGAATTTGAGAGTTCTGACAGAAAACTGCATTTTGCTTATAAAAGCTTTACAGTCTACCGTTCAACCTGGGTCCTTTGGTAGATACAAACTTGAAACCATAGTAAGTGCTAATGCATGGGAAAACTTATGAAAAACTTATGAAAAAAAAAACCATTCTAAATAAATGAACACCAACAAGTTTTAAACATAATGCTTTAGTAAGAGTATATAAAAGGCAAAATGCAGAAACTATAGCTACAGGCAAACCTTAAGTAATGTTGTTTACTGTTATCATCAAAAAATGTAATGTGTAGGTTTTATTAAAAATTTCAAATTTTTCTATAAGTATGAATTATTTGTAGTGTTTAGTATATATGCTGTTAGGCAATTAAAATTATACAACCTACCACTGCTAAAGGTAAACATTAAAGAATTCTTATTGGAAAATGGTTAAATCAATTACCATGTAGATCAATAAATAAGAAGCGGCTTAATCCTAGAACATTAAACATGGAAGGGGGTGTTTTTTTTGTTGTTTGGGGAGGGGGTCACACCTGGTGATGCTCAGGGGTTACTCCTGATTCTATGCTCAGGAATCACTCCTGGTGGTGCTCGGGGACCATATGGGATGCCAGGGATCCAACTTGGGCCAGCTGCATACAAAGCAAGCACCTTACCCGTTGTACTATCTCTCTAAACATAGTATTTTTAATATCTGAAGTCTGTGTAAATGCCAAAGCATAGAAACGTTTCCTGTCTTGTGAAAATAAAATGTTACAAAAACTCATAGCCATTATCTCAAGTAATTAACTTTGTTCCATTAGTTAAAAATATCTTAGATATTAGTTTTATACTGTAGACTTACTTTAGAAACTAATTAATGGTATAGTTGTTTATGACATAAATCTTATAGTCAGAATGGCCCCAAAATAGTAATGCTATAACCATTAACTAAAGGAAAATCAAAAATTATCTAGTTGTTACAAGTGAACCTATATACAAACAATGCCACTGCTCATGCTCTGAGAGCGCAGATCAGCATATGGCAGCTTTCAAAAAAATCAAGGAAAAAAAAAATCAAACAGAAAAACAAATTTAGAAAAGCCCAGGTCACAAAATCATGTATGTCAAATAAATTCAAGGAGCTTTGGGATAATTGACAATCTTCCTTTTATTTGACCCCTTTTCCTGCCTCAATTTACTCACTGGGTGGCTTGACTTCACTACTGGTTTCCTCTACCCCGTGAACTGCTCTGCCATGCATCATAGGGTAAGGAAAAGCAGCAGTGCCACAGCCATAACCAAGGTCGGCAAGACGGGAGAGAGCTTTAATGCTACCTGGAGGTCTCCCTGGGCTGACTTTGTATCCCGCAGCTTTAGTTGTACCCAGAGGTCTGCCTGGACTTGTCTTAAATCCAGCTGCTTTGGTGGTTCCCAAGGGTCTGCCTGTGCTGGTCCGGTATCCCGCTGATTTGGTAGTTCCTGAAGGCCGGCCTCGCTTACCAGATCGGTTGAGATTTTTCTTTTTCTTTAGTTCGTCTTTTATCTCTATGCTTCTGCCACTTGTAGTCTGCAAATGTGTTTCATTTAAGGGGTCTTGCCTCTGACAAGCCATTGGTTTGTGGCTGACTGTGTGGCTGTATTTACTCTGCTGTGAGGAATATATGTCAAACTGATCAGCAGCTCTCATAGCATCTTCATTGAGGCAGGAAGGCTTGCCAGGCCCACAGAAAGCCGGATTACTGCTGGCAACAGGATGCATCATTTTCTACCAAAATTAAAAAACAAATATGTATAAATTCACAAGTACAGGTATAAATTTGTATAACTGAATTTAGTGGGAAAATAGCATATCTCCAAACGACTACACAGGTACCTAAAATTAAGCCAAAGGCAGAACTTGGACCATTTATAAACACACCAGCAGATTTCAAGATATTAATTTTTCTCAATTTAACCATAAGTAGGAACAAATGCAATAGAAAATAACAACTGCAATACTAATTTAGCAGACAGAATGTTCTTTGTTTAGGAACTGGAAAATGAACAAACAGAATTATATTTTGTAGGTTCTTCTAGATTATCAAACCACAAAGAGTAGCAAGAAAAACATTCTTGGGGCTGGAGAGATAGTACAGTGGGTAGGGAGCTTGGCCTGCACAGAAAAGACCAGAGTTCAATCCCCAGCATCCCATATGGTTCTCTAAGGACCACCAGGAGTAATTCCTGAGTGCCGAAGCAACAGAAATCCTGGAGCATTGCTAGGTGTGGCCCCAAAACAAACAAAGAACTTTAGAGAAACAGTTTGAGCCACACTCAACTGTGAGCATTGACCACTCTGGCTGGAATCAGAGAACCGTTAGGAGGTGTCAGATTGCATGCAAGGCAAATGCCCTATCTCTCCAGCCCTCAAGAAAAGAACTCTTGGGGGCTGGATTAATAGTACAGGGAGCAGTGCATTTGCCTTGCACATAGCCAACCAAGGCTCAATCCCCGGTATCCCATGTGGTCCCCCAAGCACCGCCAGGAGTAATTCCTGAGTGCAAAGCCAGTAGTAACCCCTGAGCATTGCTGGGTGTGACCCAAAACAAAAAACAACTACAACAAAAAAACCCTCTTGAAATGGACAGACAGCTCCATGGGCTAAGTGCTCCTTTGGGCATCCTTTGCATATGGAAAGTCAGGGTTAGATCCCCAGTACTATCAAGTCCTCAAGTACTGCTGGGAACGAGTCCCTAAGCACAAAGTCAGGAATACCCCTTGAGCACCAGTAGGTGTGGCCTCAAAACAAAAAGAACTATTTTTTTAAATTTTTTTTTGGGGGGGCGATGTTGTTGTGGGGCACACCCGGAGACATTCAGGGTTTACCTTCTGACTCTGCACTTAGGAATTACTCTAGGTGATGCTGAGGGGACCACATGGGATGTCAGGGATCCTTCCTGCTGTACTATTGCTCTGGCCCCAAATAAGACAATTGTGTGACATATAACTTTATAATAGCTTTTTTGACTTTTTTTTTTGGTTGTTGGGTTTTGTTAGCCACACCTGGTGATGGCCCTTATTCTGTGCTCAGAGATGATGCCCGGTGTTGTTCAGGGGACCATATGCAGGGTCTGAGAGTGAACCTGGGTCAGGTAAACGAAAGGTAGTCACCTTACCCTCTGTACTGTCTTCAGCCCTTTGACTTTTTATATTTTTCACATTGGGGAGGGGGGAAGAGAAAGAGTTGGGCCATGCCTAGCAGTGTGCAGGGTTTACTCCTGGCTCTGCAATCAGGGATTACTCCTAGCAGTGCTTGAGGGATCATATCGTATGGAGTGCCGGGAACTGAACCCAGGTTAGCCGTGTGCAAAGCAAGTGCTTTATCTGCTGTACTATTGCTCAACCCCACACATTTACTTTACTTTTGGGCCACACTCAGCAATGCTCAGGGATTACTCTTGGCTCTGCACTCGGGAATTAATACTGGCAGTGCTGAGGGACCATATGGGATGCAGGGGATTGAATCCAGGTCAACAGTGTGCAAGGCAAATGCGCTACCTATTGTACTATTGCTCTGGCCCACTGGCCCCTAATCCACACACAAGTTTACTTTTAAACTAGTCAGTTTCCATAACTACGTTCTCATCATCATTATTTATAACAAATTCAGATTTTATATATACAAGATGAAGCAATCTAAGAATATAATCTTCTGACTCAAGATAGTCCATCTGAACAGGAGACATTACCAATATAAGATATAAAAAGGTCTCCAATCATTATAATGGAGACATCTCTAAACAGATTTAAATCCATATTACAACATATGGGGGCCAGAAAGACAGGTAGGGAGCTTGCTTTGCACACAGATGACGCAGATTCAATTTCTGGCACCTCATATGGTCCCTAAAGCCCTGCCAAGGAGTGATACATGAGCACAGAGCCAAGGGTAAGCCCTGAGCTCTGCTGGGTCTGGCCCCCAAAATTCAAAAATATGGTCATGGGCTAAATGCATGTTTTACATGAGCACTACAGGGAGAGACCCTCAAGCAGAGCTGGAGCAGCCCCCAGTACCAACAGATGTGACTCAAAAATCAAAAACACAAAAATAAGGTTAAAAACCATCTTATTTGGAAGGTATGTTTCAAGAAAAAAGTTGAATGTGCAATTTGCTTTCTTCCTTGATAATAAATATGATATGGATCTTTTTTCCCTTATGAGCTCCCGTAACTTAAGACAGCATAGGGCTGTAGAGAAAGCTCAGTGAGCTGAGTGAATGCTTTATATACAGGAGTCTTAGGTTCAATCCCCTGTACTGTATGGTTCCCCAAGCACTGCCAATAGTGAGTTCTGAGCACGGTGCTGAAAGACCCTAAGCATAGCCAGGTGTTGTCTCCAAACAAAAACTAACCTGAGATCAAACAAGTATAGAGACCCAAGAATGTGACTCAGTGTTGTTCCAATCTTGCATGCATGAGGTCACCACTTTCATCCCTACATCACCAAGTTCAATCCCAGGCACTCCTGCAACAATGCAACAAAGTATGGGACTGTAATAAGTGTGAGTGTGCCGCCCAAGACACCAGAATAACTGTTACCTGACATCACAATGACAACAAAGAAAGATAAGTTAATATTTTTTTAAAAAACCAAAAAAAAAAAATAGCACGGGGTAGGAAAGACGGTACAAGGTATTATAGCACTTGCCTTGCCTGAGGCTAACCTGGTTTGAATCCCTGGCACCACATATGGACCCCCATGGCCAGGGCTCATTCCTGAGTACAGTGCCTTGAACAGCCTCTGAATGTTGCAGGGTATGGACCAAAATACCAAAGTAAAACAAAAAACAGTAGTCTCTGCTTTGCCTTTAAATTTCTATGATTTTTTTTCTCCTTAAAAACGGTATTTTATAAACACTGTAAAAAGCTACCCCCACAAAATTGTATCATTTAAACACATAAAAGGTGAGCTTATGGAACCAGAGCAAAAGCAGACAGGGCATTTGCCTTGCATGCAGCCAACCCAGGTTCGATACCCAGCATCCCATATGGTCGCCGAAGCACCGCCAGGAGCAATTCCTCAGTGCAGAGTCAGGGTCCAAAAAGGAAGAAAAAAAATTATATAGAATATACTATTATTATTACACAATAGTGTAAGAAAGATAAAAACATATTTCTAATTAAGACTTAGAAAAAGTTTCATAAATGTGTATCAAGATCCAGTCTCAGCAATACTCCATAAAAATAAAAAATTTTCGATAAAAAAATTTAATATATATAATTACCTCTCAGAATTAAAAAAAGAAAAAAGAAAAAAAAAGGCAAGACAGGATGTTACCTGTTTTCCCAGGCGGCAGAGAATAAAATCTAAGCCTAATAAAAGAAGAGTAAAGCAAGGTGACTGTGACCTATAATCTGATAAATGACATCATTTTTTGAAAGCAGAAAAGAATTTGAGGGCAGAGATGAGCAGTGTTCAGGAAACCATATGTGGTCACATGAAACCCAGGTCAGTCACATGCAAGGCAAAAGCCTTACCTATTTCTATACTCTCTATCCCAGAAAAAAAAAGTTCATCTCCCCCATAACATCAGACTATGGAAACTTTTAAAATGTCTATTACTGAACAAACAATATGGAATTAACTTTATGAATCCACCTATAGAAATTGGACTATTTTCTCAAAACAAAGGAATATACCATCCCACCTTCCAAAATACAGAACTTCCTTTGAAAAGCGCCAAAGGGAAGAGGGTGGGAATGGGATTTGTCTCCCCAGAAGGGCCAGGATAAGCTCTTTCTCAAAATGACTAGATTTAGGATTTTTCATTGTCACCATGGTTAAGGTTAACTGAAGCCTTGTTATCTGAGGAGAATAGCATTACCTCAAGAATACAGTTTACCCAACTTTAGGGTTTTCAAGAAAGGTGCTGTTTTGCTTTAAATCAGAGAAATATAACAGCAAAATATAGTCACATGAATTCATCCTCTCCTTGTCATGTCACATTATCCCCTCATTAAAAAAAATTACATAGAATATAATATAGGACCCTTAACAAATGATATATATTCCTGGGTTATCTCATTTTTATTTTTAAGATTTTATTACTGAATCACTGTGAGAAAGACACTTATAAAGATGTTCAAAATTAGGCTTCAGTCATACAGTGTTCCAACACCCATGTCTCCACCAGGGTACATTTCCCAGGACCAGTGTCCCCAGTTTCCCTCCCATCAACCCCCCACCCTTCTGCAGTCTGTCTCCATGGCAGCAAGGTCTTCTCTCTCTCCTCTCCCCCACTCTCCTTTGGGCATTGTGGTTTCCAATACAGATATTGAAAGATTATCAGGTATATCCCTTTACCTACTTTTAACACTCAGTTCTTGTCCAGCATGATCATTTCCAGCTATTATTATCATTCTGGTCAAGGACTGTCTCAACTTTTATAATTTACATCCCGTACAAATTCTTCATACACATTAAATTTTGTTTTCTCCTACTCAGCTATTTGATGTTGTTTGTCTAACCTCACAGAAATCAGAGGGTGGGGAAATTTTCCCTGTGCCTGACAGAGATCCCCAACAATATGTTCAGAAAGACCTCCATAAAATGGACCAAAAAACCATTTCCCCCCAAGACATTTCACCTTGATATGTAATTTTGAACAAGTTCTTGTAGGCTTAAGATAAATTTCCTACCGCGTCCTTAATTACATAAAAGGGTAACAGTTATCCAGATTTAGGGGTCATCTTCTCAAGTAAGTTTTTTGTTGGGGGGTTCATGAGCAAAGTGTTAGGGACTACCAAAGTCATATTTGGCAGTACCTGGAAAGCGACATGGTGCTCAAGATGAAACTTGATTTCCTGGCCCCTGAAATAATGAATATCAGAGAATCCCATCTTTATGGCAGGGTAAACAGTTATCTTCAGAGTATCTGGAGGTTTATATACCAACTTCTCATCACATGAGTCCTTTCCTTTCCTTGACTCCCATATCCCATTATTGGCTAAAGGATAAAACCTCTGAAATTGTCTTATTCTTTCTAAAATTTACAGTAATGGAACTGGGGGAATAGCACAGGGGCTTAGAGTAGCTGCCCCACAAGAGTATGCTCACAAAGTTCAAATCCTCAGTGTCCCACTTGTGCCAAGAAAAATCCCAGGAGCCCTGATATCTGTGACCAGGTGCCACAAATTATTTTTGGCTGCATCACAGTAGTGCATAAGCACTGCAACCATCTCTGGCAAGCACACCATAGTTCATCTCAGAGTGTAGGTCTCCACAAGCATGTGCAAGCACTCCAACTAAGGAGAGCAAACTTCAACATCAATAACAAAATATTAATGTTTACAGCAATGTAAATTATCATATGTAATGTTCTTTCCTCCTAAAAAAGGGGGGAATCAAATACAGATATGACTTCAAACCAATCATTTCAATATAGAATACAAGTAAACCAAGGTTTCTCAATTGCAGCACTAACATGTGGGTCAGATAATACCCATGAAGGGTCATCCTATACCTTGTAAGATGCTTAGCAGCACTCAGTTTCTATTAGATTTAATTATCTGTGCACTCCTCTATGCTTTCAATTTGTGAACAAACATCTCACTAAGGGAGAGAGCTCAAGGGTCAGGGATGCATGCAAGGCCATGAATTCAATTCCAGGGACCATATTTGTGTCCCTGACCCCAGTACCATGGGTGAGTTTCTGGAGGCCCCAGGACTGAACCACTGAATGGTCAGTTCAGGATCATCACAAGCAGTGGTCCTCAGGCTCCCAAGCATGGAGGTAAAAGAAATTTCTTCTCAGATATTGGCTAATACTACCTGGGAGTCAAAATCCACCTACTACCATGAGAAGCATTTAGCAATATTAAAATGAAAACACGAGACCCAAATGAAAATATTCTTATGTTTTTATTCACTTCTTTAGTTCTCATCTCTCCAAATATCAATAAATACCTTCTATTTAGATAACATCTAAAATGGCAAATATTGGGCCCAAGAGATAATATAGCTGGTAGGGCCCTTCCATTGCACTAGGCCAACCCAGATTTAAATCTTGGCATTCCATTTGGTCCCCCAAGACCACCAGGAGTAAGCCCTGAGCACTGCCAGTTGTGCCCCCCCAAAATAAATAAACATATATTTCTTAAAAAGACAAATAGATTTATTTTTCAATTTGAAGTCAAGATTGGTATTTGCAGAGACCACCCATATTCCTCTCCCCCTGAAATTGCAAACCAATTGAGAAATATACATAGGAACTAGAAAGGCAACAAAATACCAGTTTATTACCAATTAAGCTGAACTAAAAGTTACAAGAGAAACATACTCAGAGCTATGAATAAATTACAAGAGAAAAATAATCCCTTTCTCAATTTTATTATTTGGAATTCACCAGCCAAGTGCTGGGGATGTGCTCAGTGATGGAGGTCTGGCCTTGCATGTCCGAGGCCTTAGGTTCAATTCACCGCACTGCCAAAAAATAAAAAAAGGAAAGAAAAAAATATTCACAGAAATCACCAAAATGCAAAATTCCAATAAAGGCAGGAAAGTGTGTGTTCTCCTTCACAGTAGAGTAAAATGTATGTTTCTGCCAGTAAAGGGAAAACAATGTTTCTTCTTACAATCTGTTTAAGTGCTTAATAACCGATGTCTGATAAGTTCTTACCACAGACTTATTAAAACCTTTCCTTCTAGACGTTAATACCCTTAACTTCATTTTCTCTTAACGTATCAGAATATTCAGTAGTACTTCTATTACCATTCAAAATTTAAGCTGACATTAAACTTTATTTATTTATGTATGACTTTGGGGTGACATCTAGCAATACTCAGGGGTTACTCTTGACTCTGCACTCAGGAATTACTCCTGGCCATACTCGGGGACCCATATGGGATGCAAGCGATCAAACCCAGTCAGCCCTGTGCAAGGCAAACACCCTATCGGCTCTAACTGCTGTATGATTGCTCTGCCCCACATTAAAATTGTAAAGATAGGTGTTGTCATTTATACAAGGATATCAACCAATATAGAAAACTCCACACCAGGAATGGGGATGGGGAAGGGAAAATAAAGAAACTACACTATTAAAAAGGCAGACCTTGGGGCTGGAGCAATAGCACAGAGGGTAGGGTGTTTGCCTTGCACACAGTCAACCAGGGTTCAATTCCCAACATCCCATATGGTCACCATATGTCAGGAGTAATTCCTGCATGCAGAGTCAGGAGTAACCCCTGTGCACCGTAGGGTGTGACCCATAAAACCAAAAAAAGAAAAAAAAATAAAGGCAGACCTGCAATTCAGAAGAAAGTAATCCTCTCATCTCTCATTCAGAAACTTAGGCATTTGTGTCTTTAAAATTATTTCAGACAGAACTTCCATGTGAGGGCTAATTTTACACAAAACACTATTCTAGAACTTAGGAGAAGTGCTTAATGCCAAGAATAAAACCCAGGATCTCACAAATACAAGGCAGCAATCTACACTCAGTCACATCCCCTAGTCAGTAGTAAAACCATTTCTTCCAAGGGAAAGATGATGGGACAATGATTTAAACAACAGAAGTCCTCTATATGTTCTCTATTTCCCTTTCTTGCTAAGTCATGAAATAAGCATAATATTTTGCTTATTAAGTTATTAACAAGCTGGACAAGAAAGAACTAAGAATATGAGCCATGTAAATAGTTAAAATATTAAAATGTAAATAGTTAAAATGGCAAAAATGATAAAAATGTTAAAGTTATCTACTTCAGGAAGGAATTATTTGCTTTCAGATTTCAACTTTGTGTGTGTGTGAATGTGGTTTCTAGGGCTGTGCTGTAAACTAGTCTGAAATTGCTGGTCAGGAGACTATGTAGTGTGAAAGACTGAATCCAGGCTTCCTGCAAGCAAAGTTTGAGCTCAAGTCTCCTGAGTTTGCTCTTTGTGTAGACTTCAACCTTAAGATGGGAACCAGCACCGTTAGATTCTGTGGGCATAATCATCTCCTGTGCATAGTTACTTGTACTTATATATACTCCACATCATATATCTACACTACACATATCTAAATGTGGGTTATGTTTGCATGCAATGTTTGCATATATGAGCATTAAGCCTACATTAGTAATTCCTCTTTATTCCCACTTCGGGGCTTGCCAGCCAATTGCTCCTTCTTGAAAGCATCTTCCTGTACAGGAAGAGGTTCACTACATATACAGGCCATGTTTTTTTAGACTCAGAACTGAACACTTCATTTCTAGAAAATCTCACTTGAATGAAAACAAGAGTTACAAAAACCGGCTCACAAAGACGAATCACCTTCTCAAAACGGTCCATCCTGTCCAAACGAGTCCACTAGAGCTTCTCCTTCGGCACCTCATTCTACATTTTAACTAGGGCTACACTGAAATTACTACTGCACACACTAAAACTTGCCGAACCTAAAGTTGTTTTACAGTGCATGTAAATCCTAAATCCTTGCTACGAGCCGCTCTGCGAGCACTTTCCCTTTCCCTTCTCAGCATGGCAGTCATTTACTGCCAACACAAAGCTCTAGGGCCAATTTTAGTCACTTCACCAAGCACTCATGAAGCTTTTTCTAAGCATGGGAGAAAAAAATATTTTTTTTTGCAAGAAATCCAAGTGTCCGTATGTCTTCCAAACGTCACCTAATTCTGCAAGCTTGCTTTCAGGTCCCTTGGCACAGAATAATCGCGATTTTCTGGGTCGAAACCGAAGTGCATGCACGACACTTCTGTCCTCCCTTCACCCCTAACCCTACCCCCCAAATAACTCGGAGAGACCAAGCAACGAGCGCCGGGGCTTGGATGCCCTTTCCCAGCGCGCAAAGTTTGGAGCCTGGGGCCGGACGCAAATAACGGCCCTCTTTGTCCTCCCCGCCCGAACCGTGCCCCTCGGCGCCGCCTCCCCGGGGCCAGACCCCTTGGTCCGACGCGAGGCGCTGAGAAGCCGGTGACCTGTTGTGCCTGCAAAGCCACCATTCGGGCTCGGGCGATAACAACTTTGCAGATGGTGCACGCCCCGGCGCGCGGAGGGGAGGGGGGGGGAGTGTGTGGCGTCGCCCCCTCCCCACAACCACCCCATACACACACCGATTCGGCGGCCGCTGCCCTCGGGAGTCCTACGAGCCACTTGAAGTCCACAGGCCACGCCGCCCCGGCGTCCATCTCGAAGCCGGGCAGGCGATCATTCGAAAGCGACCGCGAGGGGCCTGCAGCGCAGATCTCTCGGAGCCGAGCGACGGCGACCACTCCCGCGCGCCGCAGGAGGAACCCCCCCACCCCCCACCAATGGCTCCGGGCCGAGAGCAGGCAGCGTCCCGGGCCGCTCGTCGCTAGGCCCCAGCTCCGCCAGCGGCCGGGGACCGCTCGTCAGCGGCGAGCCGAGACGCGACCTCGGGGCCTTCGGGTCTCCCTGCCGCTAGCGCCCGCCGCCCCGACCCCGCCGCCTCCCCCGCCTACCTCAGCCGCTGGGAGTAGCCCGGCCCCTCAGCGCGCCCGGGGGCAGCCCATCGGCTGGGAACCTCACGCCGGCGCGACTCGCTTCCCGGCCCGCCGCCTCGGCGACGGCGCGGAGCGGACGGGGCAGCGGGACGGAGAGAAAGCGGCGGACAAGCGATCGCGGGCGGGTGCACTGCCCGCCGCCTTCGGAAACAGCCACGGCGCAGGGTCCCGCCCCGCTCGCAGGAGGAAGAGGCCAGCCCAGCCCCGCACGGTGAGCCGCGGCGTGCGCGAGCTCGCGACGGCCGCGCGCGCCCACGCACTCATCGCGAGACCCGATCTCCCGCCGACAACCGGGCCGGGAAGGGGCGGCTCGGAGGAACGCCGCGCAAGCGCACTGTGGGAGTGGGCCGGAGGCGGGGCCTAGGCCCGAGCCAATGAGGCTCTTCCTGTAGGCCGCCGAAAGCTGCGAGAGACCCCCGCCCCCCCTCCCCAGAGACAGACAGACAGACAGACAGACAGACAGACACACACACACACACACGCCCCCCCCCGAGGCAGACAGACAGACACACACACCACACACACACACACACACACGAGTCACCCGAGCCGAGGAGGCTCTTCCTGTAGACAGACACACACACACACACACACACACACACACACGCCCCCCCTCCCCAGAGACAGACAGACACACACACCACATACACACACACACACACACGAGTCACCCGAGCCCCCTCCCCAGAGACACACACACACACACACACACACGCCCCCCCTCCCCAGAGACAGACAGACACACACACCACACACACACACACACACACACGAGTCACCCGAGCCCCCTCCCCAGAGACACACACACACACACACACACACACACGCCCCCCCTCCCCAGAGACAGACAGACACACCACACACACACACACACACACACACACGAGTCACCCGAGCCAAGGAGGCTCTTCCTGTAGACAGACAGACACACACACACACCCGAGCCAAGGAGGCTCTTCCTGTAGGCCGCTGAAAGCTGCGGGACACCCCACCTCCCCCGTCCCCCAAACACACACACACACACGAACCAAACCTCCCCGTCCCACACACCCACCCTTATATGCCGAATTGATTTGGAAACGAATCAAACCTCCCCCGTCCCCCAAACACACACACACACACACACACACATACACCCCGGAGTCACTTATATGCCGAATTGATTTGGAACCAAATTTTGTGATATTAGAACCACTGCCGATCCCATTTCTCAGACTGAACCGGCAGTATTGTTCCCCAAACCTTCAGCCTCTGGTGGTAAAAAAGATTAAAGTCTAGGTGTTGTTTGGGGCTGGAAAGATAGTACATCCAGTAGGGTGTTTGCCTCGCAGCCGACCAGGTTTTGATCTCCAGCACCTGATATGGCCCCGCGCCTCCCAGGACTAAACCCTGCGTATTGCCCGGTGTGATCCAAAAGCAAATTAAAACAAAACAAAACACACACCTAAGGTCGTGTTGGGTGGGGCCCAAAGCAGAGCCTTTGTAATTTAATTGCTTATGCATAGGCAGGTAGAAATGTTAAAGTTCATGTTCGATAATTATGAAGCTCTATGAACGTGTGATAACGGAAAGTCTCATTTTGTGGAATAGTCTGTAAAGATTTTACATCCATAACATAAGAATTGTCATTCTTTATTCCATTACAAGGAGAGATGAAACAGTTTACCACCTTCGGCTGCTAATGTAGTTATTGTGAGGTTACACTGTCAGTCACTTAGCAGAAGGGATTCAGCTGCCCAGTTATGTCATTCTGTGAACTGGAAGATGTCAGAAAGGAAGGGACCCAGAATTAGGAAGAATGCTAATAGCATTAGGAATAGGAAGTCTAGACGAGGGTGCTTGCCTCCCCCCAGACCCCACTCCTGGATTTGAGAGATGATCAGTTTTATCACTGCTCCAATAGGCAAAGAGGAAAATACTTTATGGGTGGATCCACGAAGGAAAATAAACACAATAGATACAAGTCCATTCATTCTATGGCAGGATTCCATAACATAATTCTAGGTATAACTGCAATATAAAACCATAAAATGTAACTTAAAAAGACCGGAAATGGTATTGGAGTGATAGTACAGCGGGTAGGGCACTTGCCTGCACAAAGTCGACCCAAATTCAATCTCATATGGTCCCTGAGAACCTCCAGGCGTAACTCCTGAGTGTAGAGTAGCTATCAATAGAGAGCTCAGGAGTATCTCAAACACTATGCCAAGAATGGCCCCCAGCACCACTAGTTGTGACTTACCTATTAAAAAGGAAAAAAGAAAACACTAACAAATGACTTGTAAACCCAATGGAGAAGTAGCCAGAGAAAACCACAACAAAATTGTGTTTTAATGTCTTTCTGCCATTTGCCTAATATGGTGTCTTGGACAAGTCACTACTCCTTCCAAAAGTTTCCATATATAAAGAGCAATGTCTGCCTGGAAGTGTTGTGAATTAAATGACCTAACAAGTCCACTGTCCACTGTCCTCCCATTGTTCATCGATTTGCTCGAGCAGGCCCAGTAACGTCTCCATTGTGAGACTTGTTGTTACTGTGTTTGGCATATTGAATATGTCACGGGTAGCTAGCTAGGCTTTGCCGCGTGGGCAAGATACTCTTAGTAGCTTGCCAGGCTCCTCAAGAGGGACGGAGGAATCGAACCCCGGTTGGCCAGGTCAGTCGCATGTAAGGTAAACGCCCTACCCGCTGGTCTATCGCTAGTGAAGATTTAAAATCTCTTACTACTCCTTCCTAGGCATATTAACTATGGACAAGTGACTTAGTTCAGCATATATTTACTGGATTCAACATATATTTGTAAGTACTAAAGATATAATACAGACCTCAGGAAGTTTACATTCTATAAAACTAGACAAACTCATTAACAATTTTAACACAGTATTAAATATGATGATCTGGCACTTCCAAAAATTTTATCAGGGTGGTCTCTCAGAGCATTTCACTAAGGAAAAATGTACCTTAATAAGGGTACAATTTACAACTAGTGCTAAATATGTAGGGATTTTCAAGACCATAGAATTATTACTTCACTTGCATAATTATTACTTTATTTGCAATAACACAATTTCAAATGTCTTAATTACATGTCTCCAACATTTTTTCAAAAGTCTATAACCTTAAAATACAAATTAAACAATTCAACATTTTTCCTTACTTCTCAAGTAATTTCAGCTATTGTATACATATGAAAGGAAGGCCAGAAAAGGAGTATTTGTTCAGAGCTGAGCTAGAAAATAGCTGCTTCTGATCATTCAAGTTGAATCAACAAGCATTCTTTCATTTGATATAAAAGACATAGGAAAAAGGAATCTCACTTTGTACATTTTAACCTACCAGTAGGTATTGATTGTATTGGCTAGGTATAAAGTTCAAAGCAATATTGAATATAATTTTGTTGTGTTTATTTTAGGACCACACTTAGTAGTGCTCAGGGCTTACTTCTAGATCTGCATTCAGGGATCGGTCCTAACAGTGCTTGGGGGACATACTGGGTGCCAGGGAAAGATCCCAGGTTGGTCTCAGGAAAGGTAAGTGCCCTACCCACTGTACTACTGCTCCAGCCTCCATTCACATATTGTAATGCTAATAAGGAACAGTATTTATTGAATACTTACCATATGCCAACCTGTGGTTCTATTTATTGATGATTTATGTTACTTAAACTGATTTTCACAAGAACTTTAGTATATATCTGGTATATATTAGAGCCCCATTTCATAGACTTAATAAAGACACTCAAAGCATTTAAGCAACTTGCTTAAGGTTTTCCAAATACATATTATATTATCTATGCGACAATATATTATAAAACTAACAAAAATTAAGAGAATGAGGAGGAGCCAGGGCAATAATACAGCAGGAAGGGTATTTGTCTTGCACGCAGCAGACCCAAGTCTGATTTACTGGCATTCCATATGGCTCCTTGAGCACCGTCAGAAGTAATTCCTATGTCTAATAAAGCAGTAATTTTTTTTTGAAGATTTTTGAACCACACCCTGGGGTCTGGGAGACCATATGGAGTGCCAGTAATTTAACCTGGATCAGCCATACACAAGGAAAACATACTACCTGCTGTACTAAATCCGCAGCCTGACAAAACAAATATTTTGCCTAAGACATATTTGTTTACACTTTTTCTTGATTTTGTTGACTTAGAAGTTTCCTCAGAAGTGCTGGAGAAGGGGCTGGAGCTATGGCACAGATAGGGCATTTGCCTTGCACACGGCCAACCCAGGTTCTATTCCCAGCATCTCATATGGTTCCCCAAGCACCACCAGAAGTAATTTCTGAATGCAGAGCCAGGAGCTAATCCCTGTGTATCGTCGGGTGTGACCTACCCCCCCCAAAAAAAAGGTAGATGGGGTCTCATATCAGGCCCTCATCCACTCGTCCAACATGTTAAGGAGTCCATGCGGTGTGATGACTGAATACAGGGACTTCTGCATGCTAGATATGTACTCCAGCCCAAGAGCTATCTGCCAGGCCGTTTTCTTCATATTTCTACTTGAATTTATGACTGAGGGTAATTATATATATTTTCCCTGATCACTTGACATCCTGTTACTCATCGATTTGCTCGAGTGGGTGCCAGTAACGTCTCCATTTGTCCCTGTCACATGCTAGTGTAGCCCAATGGCATTTGCTCGTTTTAAGAACATGAAGAGCCTCAAACCATTCAGGGTCTTGACAAAGAAATCTGACCATCTCGTAGGTGGGTAGCCACACGATCTTTTGATGTCCCGTGGAATCCAACTGGTAACAGCTCTAGTCCAGCGGTCATCTCCAAATCTCATTACATGTCCAGCCCATCTGATTTTCGACGCCTTGGCAAACAAGACAGCGTCCCTGATTCTTGACCATTGATGGAGGTCGGAACTCCGGATTTTTTCTCTCATTTGAGTGAACCGTGATACTCCAAGTATAGCTCTTTGGATTCCTCTTTGGGAGACCCGAATTGCGTTCTCATCCTGTTTTTGTAGGGCCCAAGTCTCTGAGATGTATGTTAATGCAGGAATAACTGTGGAATCGAAGAGATGCGCCTGGAGCTTGAAGTTCTTCGTCCTCTTAGTTATTTCTTCGATGCTCTTGAAGGCGTTCCAAGCCACTCTCTTCCTCCTGTGCAATTCAGGTGCCAGGTCACTCGTCATGTTGACTTCTCGACCTAGGTACAAGGTACACATAACTGTTGCATTCGGAGATGTTCGTTCTGTTGAGAGTGAATGGAATGTCAGAAACGAGACTGTTTCTCATAAACATTGTCTTCACAAGATTC